GCCACATCCCCAGCCCCTGGAACCTATTATTTATTTTTTTAAAGAATAGTACTCTAGTCAGATTAAAGACACCTTCTTATTCATTGCCCTCCTCTCATACATGAAAGTGTCTTTGTTATAGATCAGTGTAAAAGGCAGGGATAAAGAATGTATTGTACACTGCATTTTAAAAATCAGAACTTCTATTTTGCATTTTAAATATTTATACCAGGATTCCCTCTATACAAATGCTGTATGATAGGGAGATATCATTGTTTTAGCTAAAAAGACTAGGCCTATTCTTTTTCTTTTTTGAAAATATTTTTTTTAAAAAATCTGCTATGATTCCTTGCCACTAAATAGATACAGGAACTCTTTCATATCACATTCAGTTACATCAGGATGGATCCAGAGGTAGTGTTGCATAAATAGAATTTGTACCAACAAAATTCTAAGCTTACTTCAATTGTTGAAAATTAATTCGTTTTCAGACTTCAGAATCTGATTTTCAGAGTACAAGAAGCTTGACAGAAAAAGCAATTGAGCATAATCAGCTCTCTTTATGTGCTTAGTTTAAAACTGTTTAGGCTGTTGTATGTGATATGAATGAGAAGGACTTGATAAATATTCTTATGAACACCTAGATGGATCACCTTAGTGAATGTGTAATTGCCTACGAAACACAGTCTTAAACAAGCAAATTCAGAATCAAAGGGGATGTTTAATAATTGTACCTTCACTTTCTTTAGATCTTTGCCAAAATAACAGGTGGTAACTTCATTGGGGAGCTTCAAGAGGAAAATGGATCTTGGCAAATGGTCAGTAATTTGAGGTTAATGCAATGCAGCTCATACACAGAAATTGAGAGGCCTTTTTATTTTCAAGAAAGTCACTAGTTTTGTAAGTTTTTGATTTGGAATTTGCTATGCTGGTAGCAGAGTATTAAGAGAATATCTTTCATCAGATAAATAAAAGTGATTGTTCAAGGATTTGAAATGCCAGTAATACTAAATTGTGACCATTGTATGGCATAAAACATTTTTTCTATGAATAGATTTTCACATAAATTTGAAGGTTTGAGAAAAAAGGTGAAAATTTGTGAATAGAGCTATAGAAAATTTAATCTGTACCCTACAAGTCATAAATACTGACCTTCACATCAATGGCACAAAAGGGATGAGGCAGAGACAATATTTGTTACATATATTAGAATGAACATGAAACTTTGATAGTTTTCTGAATTATTGAATCAAAGTGTCCACTTAATTACAGAATGCAAAATAAATATTTCAAAATCCCAAATTTCCTATGTCATGAAGTTTTCTAGAAACCACAGTTATCTGAAATTGTGGAACATTAATTTTGGAACATTAATTTTGGCTCTGCCTTTTCAGTACCAAACCTCTTATTCCAGAATGTACTGAACAATATTAAATAAGAATAGTGTTACCATAATCTTGTTCTAGATTTTACTGGGTGTTCTGGATTTTACTAAGAATGCACTGTTCAGTATATTGTTGGTATGGTTTAAGATAGGAAGAGATATTCTTGTCCTACTTTACCAAGAGATGTAATTTCCCCTCCCACTCATGAGAAGAGAGAGACTTTGTTATACTCATTAATGTATCCCCTATAGATCCTGTAAAATGCATGACATACATAGGCACTCAATAAATGTTGTTTGAATGAATAATTAATCATCTAGAAGGCTGTTACCAATAGGACATGTAAGTTGTCAAAGAAATTATGTAAAAACAGTTATTTGACATCTTAAGAAAAAAACTTTCTAGGAACATGGGAATTATAATCAATATCCTCTACTGACCATAGAGTGGAAACAGTGTGACCTCACTTCCAGTGCTCTTTCACTAACAACTCTTTATGTATAAACACCTTGGGGGCAGGAGAACTGTCTTGTTCATTTGTTGAGCAAAAGAACATCTCTTTCTATACCTTTTGTTTTTCTTTTGGGTTAAATTAAATGGCTAGAATAATTCAAATTTAACATTTAGGAAAATTTAACCTTTGCATTTAAAGGTACATTATCTTAGGTATTTGATTTTAAACCGAATTAACCTAAAGAGATATCTGGTTGCTTGAGAGCAAAAGATAAGGATCTGTGAGCAGAGATATAGCATTGATTGAGAAACTGACCCTTTCAAAGGGATTAAGTTGTTTCTCTGCTTCCTTTTCTCTAGTAGTAAAATGGTCCTGGTAATTGTCATTCCTTCACTAGGAATTGTTACATCTAATGTTTTTCCTACTAGCATATCTTTTTAAAAACTGGTTTCTGTTTTATTAGTTAGAAATGATAAAAATGCAACAAAGTCTATCTATAAATTAATAAAATTAACTGTAAACACATTTACATGATACAAAAATAACAAATGTTTATAACCTTGTAAAGGCACCTCTTATGCTCCATTTGGACATGCTTAACATCCTGTAGTTTGCTAAATATTCCACGATTTTCTTCATCTGTTTGATTTTGTGAAAAAAAATATTTTTTGTAAAAGAAAAAAAGATTATCAGCATTCTGAAAGAAGTTAACATGAATTACTACTAAAATATTTCAATGCCTCTTTTTTTCATGTTGATATATTTATTTTCTTATTTATGAAAGTCTTTTTTTCTCTCTTGGAAACGGACAATAATCTCAGTATATACAAATCAATTACAAGTCATCATGATGGTTCATTCATAGCTGCCCATTTGAATTGAAAACAAAAAACCCAAACAAACCCCTTCCCCCAAATCCCTAGGTCACCCATCTCTAGAGATGGAATTTAAGCATCTGTACTTTTGAGAACTCCCCAAGCATTCTACAAAATACCTGACCAGCATTTTTCAAAACTGTCAAGGTTGCTGGCACAGTGGCACACACCTGTAATCCCAGTGCCTGTAATGTCAATGGCTTGGGAGGCTGAGGCAGGAGGACTGCAGGTTCAAATTCAGGCTCCGCAATTTAGTGGGGCCCTAAGCATCTTAGTGAGATCCTATTTCAAAATAAAAAATAAAAAGGACTGGGGATATGGCTCAGTGGTTAACACCCCTGGGTTCAATCCCTGGTACCAAAAAAGCAAACAAACAAACAAACAGTCAAGATCATTATTAACAAGGAAAGTGTGAAAAATTGTCTTGGACTAAAGGAGGTGTAGGAGATGTGATGACTAAATATAATGTGATAACCTAAATGGGATCCTGGAATAGAAAAAAATGATGTCAGGGGAAAACTACTGAAAGTCCCCTAAGCTATAGCATTTGCTTAATAGTGAAGTGCCAGTGTTATTTCCTTAGTTGTGAAATCATTCTATAGCAATGTAAAATACTAACAATAGGAAGAACTGTGTGAGAGTACATGGAAACTTGATATTATCTCTGTAACTTTTCTGTATGTATCAATTATTATAAAATAGTTTGTTTTAAAAATCGGTCTGATATGGATCCAGGATGGAGAATCACATAGGAATCTGCTTACATGGTTTCAGATAACAGAAGGCCCCCTCAGTTACCAGTAAGCCTTCTCAAAACCTGATCTTCACAATGGAATGCTGCATTAAGACCCTTAAGACAGATTACAGTTCTAGAATCACTTCCAGGAAAACACAAATGGGCTAGCTATAATAAACACAGCTGTAATAATCATTATCCTGATAGTTACTTCCAAGATACAAAAATTTTTACAAGGATTGTTTAGTAACTAGGAGAAAATCCACTTCTTAGTTTATAAATTCAAGTTTCATTTTGATATCTACAAAAAATTATCTTGATTAAATATAATAGCTGCATTATGGTTTCCTAGAGATTTTAGACAATTGCAAGTGATTTATCTTTGCTAGGAGCCTTGCCAATCTGTTATCTATAGTGATAAAGGAGATTTAGATAGCTCAGAAAGTTCTGCAGTATTAATTTTTTCTTTCCCCCTTCCACTGTGGTAGGATGGAAGCAAAGGAAAAAGATCCCCTATTCTTCCATGAGGCCTAACTTGATTTAGCCTGGCTGCACTTTTGTCTTTCTAAGCACTGCCGTTATATATCTATCATTCGGAAGAAATCAGTGACGAAGTGCCTGCCTAGCATGCACAAGGCCCTGAGCTGGAATATTAACACCAGAAAATAAATCACTATGTACAAACAAACAATTGACAAATTGCGTGTTCTTGGAAATGATGTTTCAATAGCTCCTTTTAATTATTTTTGGCATTCATTATCTACTTGGGGGGGGATCACAAATTTATAATTGATAATCTTTTTTAAAATATTCATTTTTTAGTTGTAGTTGGACACAACACCTTTATTTCACTTGTTAATTTTTGTATGTGGTGCTGAGGATCGAACCCAGGGTCTCGCACGTGCGAAGCGAGCGCTCTACCGCTGAGCTACAACCCCAGCCCATAATTGATAATCTTTATGCATCTTCGAATTAACAAATATTAACAGCCTGTAGCACCCATATTACAGTCAGAGCTCCCTGACTCCACGAGACTTTAGGTAAATAATTTCTCTTCTCCAAGCCTATCTCAGTTTCTCATCTGTAAAAGGAGTGGATCGGATCAAGCAATCTTTAAAGCCCCGGGTAGCTCAACATTAAGATTCCGCGACAAGGACCTGGAGAAACGGCAGAGTTTTAGGATTTAGGGAGGAGGAGGATGGAGATGCCACCCAGGGTCGTCTCCCGGAACTTTTGGGGACAGCCGGGAAAACTGAGCGTGGGTTGCTAGGCAACTGCGCCTCCTAGGAGGGTGGAGGACCCCAGGCGAGGTGTCTAAGTCACAACCGCTATGGTGTCTTACTTTTCGAAATTAATGAAATCTACAGCTTTTAATAGTACACATTTTCTTGCAGCCACGTTGGGGCAAATTCTGATGCTGAGTTCTGCTCGCCGTTTTCTATTTCCCGTTTTCAGGCGCGCGGCGGGCACCTCTCCAGGAAGGCCCAGCCGCCGCGCGTTGCCGGGTAGAGCCCGACGCTAGGCGCTCTGCGCTCCGGGCCTTTCCTTGGGCTGGCCCTTGGGTGCTCTGCGGGCAGGTCTGGGCCGCCATGGGCTCGGAGATGGAGCCGCTGCTCCTGGCCTGGAGCTATTTTAGGCGCAGGAAGTTCCAGCTCTGCGCGGATCTGTGCACGCAGATGCTGGAGAAGTCCCCTTATGACCAGGTACCGACCGGCCCCGTCAGCCAGAGCAGCCTCGCGCAGAGGCTGAGGGCTCTGGGCATTCCACGGCCCCGGGGAAGGGAGGCCGGGGAGGAGGGCCGCAGAGGCACCTGGAGCCAGACCCCTTGGAGCCATGGCTGACAAGTTCCTGCCCTCGGCGTCCCCCGGGGTCCCTAGTTTTGTGCCTTGACTGCTCCCTCTGCAAACTTCAGCATCCCTTTTCTTTAAGTTACCCAGAATGAGTGCCCTGAATTTTCTCTTGTTAAGTAACTTAGATTTTCCATTTAGTTGCTTCTGGACAAACTCTTAAGCTCTCTTCCAGTATGGTCTCAACAACAACAACAACAAAAAACAACAAACAGCAAACCCCGTGCAAACAGAGATCTGTGACTCTCCACCCCCTTTTAACCCAGTTGCCTTTTCGTTTGAATCAAAAGTGACCTTATCACCTCATCTTTAGACAGTTGTCCAAAAGTGGAGGAACTTTTGATTCTGGACCATGAGTTCAACTTGAGGCAAATACGCAAGATAAAGGAGAATGTATGAAGGGGAAAGATACACTTATTATTAAAGAAATTACCTGGGCAAAGAAAACTGTAATTGTAGGAGGGAGGGATAGGACAGAAAGTCTCCCTAGAAGACGGAATGATGGTATTGGTTGAAAGGGAACTTGAATAAATAATGAATGAAAAGGGTAATAAACCAAGTGTGTGAGGTACAACTGATGGGCAGGTCACTCCTGGAAAAGAAAAAAGAAAGAATGAAAGAAAAAGTAGATTTATGGCAGCTTGTTAGTGAGTGCTTCTAGTAAATGTGGAATGTACCTAGACAGTTCTGGATCCCCAGCTTTTCCTCTAGTTGTGATGTCTTGGTGTTTTTTAAAAAAAGGAAAGTGGAGGGGAGGTGTAAGTGTGCCTTAGCTTCCAGCTAAGGATGAACACTGTTGAGAGTATATCTCCTCCAAGAGTATATCTCCTCCCGAACAACCCATATTAGTGGTAATGCTAAGCTAGGTTCTGTTCCTGGTAATTGACTTTGGTAAATAGGAACAAGTTTCTGCAGACAAGCATTTTTCCAAGGGTGTTTCTTGGCACAGTATTTCCACAAATCCTGGGGGGAAAAAAGATTCCATAATCAAATGTGTTTGGGAGTTGTGAGAAAACGTTGACACTTACTTTTGTTAAGACAGAGGGTTGTCAAAAACTTTTGATGTTCCATGCATTGTTTTAAGCACAATGGTTTGCAAGAACTTTACTTGCTCTTTCCATTGTTCCATTAAATTAGGGTAGTTTCCATTCAGTGTTCCACTGAACACTAGTCCCAAGAGCTGTTCAGTGAAAAAAGTTTCTTCATTACATGCATTTGGGAAATGTATATTCCCTTCTTAGGGATTCAAGATGCATACTAAAGGCTCTGAGTTGTTCTGAAGAAAATAAACCTAATTTTGCCTAAGTTTTAAAATTTATTTGATGAGTGATTCCTTTTTTTGACCAGGGCAAGGGTCAAATGTCTTTCTTATTATCCTGAGGAGATGCTGTCACATTGGGAAATATTGTTATGAGTAAAACAGCAATGTTTATTGATGTCTAAGACCCTATAATCTTGAGTCCGTAGAGACATTCAGCACTGCACCCAGGAATTGAGATTTCACTTGAAACAGGCATTGTGATCAGGATTTTTTATGTGTTCATTTCAATTATATCAAATGTTTAGTATTTTCAGACATAGATTCTGTAAATTACATGTATTTCTAATGCTTAGATTAATCTTGCAAAGTAGATAAAATAAGAGTAGTAGCTTAACGATGTGGTGCAGAGAGTTTTATTATATCATCTCATTTAATCCTCAACTGTTTTTAGGAGTTGGTGCTGTTTTCTCCACTTTAGTGAACACTAAAGCACAAAGTGAAGTAAATTGTCCAAAATTACAAAGCTAGTAAGCCTACTGCATTTGCATGTGGTTTTGTCTCCGTTCTTTTCCACTGGTCTTCATTCCTGTTTTGGTGTCAATACCATGCTGTTTTTGTTACTATAACTCTTCAGTGTAATTTAAGGTCTGGTATTGTGATATCTTCTGCTTCACTTTTCTTGCTAAGGATTGCTTTGGCTATTCTGGGCCTCTTAGTTTTCCAGATGAATTTCATAACTGCTTTTTCTTTTCCTATGAAGAATGTCATTGGAATTTCTTGTTTTGAGTGTCAGTTTTAAAAAAAATTAATGTAGAAAATTCTGCCTGGATTCCTTCAGGTTTTTCTAGTAGTAATTGTTATCATTGGTGTTTCTTATGGTGCTTTTGTTGTTTCAGTAGAGGGTGTCAAATGGTGGGGATATTCCCATCTATGAAGAGTTTTAACAGAAATGTGACCAGAGCAGGAGTAGCTAATCCTCAGACCCCCCAGTTGGCTCTTTACCTTCTATGCTCTTTTAGCCTCATGGGCATTTATTGAATTTCCACATTTCAGAGTACTTTTCCTTTATAATGATTTGAATTACCATTCCTGTGCCACCAAACTGATTTTAGTATGAATAAGTTATTTTGAAGCTGTGCCCGTGCACATAGAGGAGCAAGGAAATGAAAATATTTCTTTTGATTGTCACATGGATTCATTTTTGCTTTTGTTTTTTCTCTTCCCAAAACATATGCTAGCTTTTATTTTCAATAGTGTTATTTTTTTTCACTTTGGTTTTGCTTATTTTTCTCCCAGATGAGGAGAACCTCTCTAAATTGATCTGTTATGTTTGAATCTTCTTGTATGCTGAGCCAGTGAGCTTCAAAGAGAGAGTGTGTAGACCTGCTTTACATCAGCCTAGCTAGTTAGAAAGATGTGATACTTGATGAATACTATGTTTTCTTAGAGTAATCCATTTTTATTTGGCTATAAAAGGACTGATGGGTAGGTTGAACATAATAATATTGTGTTTGATCATGGGGATGGGTTCTTGAAGAACATAGGTCCTGGACGTTTTTCCCGGTCACAAAATTGTGAGGGCAGAGGGAAGGCTGTATCCCTAAGCATGAAGAATGTTAAAGCTCAAATCTGCTAAGAATAAAGACGAGGTTACCAGGTTAATTCATCATACTTTTCTCTTTTTGATAAAAATGATAAGAATAACCAATTCAGAGAGCAGCATTGCCTGCCCCCCCCCCAAAGTATTATTTAAATCATGACTAAAAAATGGCAAAAATTTATTAGATATAAAAGGGGAAAATGCAGACAGCCCTCTGTACAGTGATATGACCTAGAGGGAATGCTCGCTTTCTCAGCTCATGTCGCTCACCCTGATTAGTTGCTTAATCTGATTACTGTTCTCTGTGTTCCATATGTCAGATTCATGACTGTAAAACCAGTCCTGATTTTTTTTTTTCTTAGCTCCATTGCAATCAGACAGTTCATGAAAACATGGAGGGTTTTCAGACAGTGGTGTTTTTAAAAGACACTCATTTCATTGATGAGATTTCTGGTAGATTTTCAGATTGTTAAAATCGGTGATTCTGAGGGTGGGAGCATTAATTAGGTACCGGAATAGGGATAAAAGCTTTTTCTAGTGCACCTCTTCGTCTCCTGCTATCCATCTCTACTTAAAATGAGAGACATTATGGAGGGGAGGGGGTTCTTATATAAATGATTTGAAGGTGGAGAAAAGGCTGAGAGCCACTGGCTTAGATGAAAAAGAAACCAGTTCTCCCCAGTGAGCTCCATGTTAGTTAGCTGAGACAGCAATTAGATGTTCTACACCAAACATATCTTTCTGTACAGTTTCTTAATTTGTTTCCTCTTTGGGGCCATGGAGACTTAGCCAGACTTAATACTTTGATTCCATACACTTTCAGGCAGTTCATTTTAAGGATTTTTGTTACTGCTGAATTGTACAGATTACATTTCCATTTGGCTACTTGGTCACTTGATCTCTCTAGCCTTCTGAAATCCATCAATTTCTCTGTTCTCTTACAGGTATCTCCTTTCTGTTACTACTTGGAGTCACAATGAGGCAAGTCACTTGCCATGAGTGACTCCATCTTATGGGAACGTTCTGTAATAAGCAGCACATGCAACTATGCTGCAAACAGCAAGTATTTATCTCCCCAATTAAGGAAGCTGCTGCACACAGTAAACAGAATATCCCAGAAAGTTAGAACACTGTCCCAGAAAGAAGTTTTGTTAGCTACAGAATAATAACATTGTGCTGATGAAAACAGATCTGCTTGAGTTCCCACTTGTTGGTATAAAAAAAGGATGAGAGGCCAGACCTGAGTAAAGCTTGGCTCACTCATGGTTTAAAAGACTCCAGGAGGCAGTTATTCTGGTTTAAAGGACTCCATGAGGTAGTTTTACTTTGTGTCATTATCTCAACATATTGTTGTGTCTTACCTCAACATCTACTGGATTCTGAACAACTCTGCAGACTCATTAACCAGAGTAAGTGTTGTTGGCAATTAGGAAGTTTCATTCAGAAATATCTGGAGGGTTAATTCTCCAAAGTAATAACAACAAACTAAGAGAAAGCTGTACTCTGGGGAGGAAGGAAGGACGCAAACTGCTGTGAGCAGAAGTGGATGGTAATGGGGACTTGCTGGTTCTAGGCAGTGGCCTCTGCTTCCCCTGTCCTTAGCCACTTTGAAGGAGATTCAAAGTTTTAATTTGATCTGCCATTACTGGGAATGAGTTCTGAGTTCTGAGAAAGATGAAATAGATGGTTAAGTGCTTGTCTTTTAACCTTATACTTAAGTATGCTAGTATATGTGAAAGAACTCTAAAAATAATGAAATATTTTTTAAAATGTAAGATTTTATTCGGCCTTAAAACTATCCCAGAAAGAAGATATTATTGCTCCAATTTGAGAGGGTAATGAAGGTTATATGACTTGTTCAAGGTTATATGACTAAGTGGCTTCCTGAGGATCAAGCCCAAATCCTTTGAGTCCAGGATAAGGCCTGGTCCTTTCTATTTAACTGTATTGATACCCATAGAAATATTCACTAGGCTAAGTGAACTTAAGCTATGGTTTCCTATATGGGTGGACTGTATTAAATCACAAAACTATAATTGAGACTCAAAGATGAAGGTCTGGTAGTTTTTTTAAAAAAAATTTCCCCCTATCTCCAAACTGAAACATCCTGACTTTTCTTCTTCATAGTCCTGCTCCAGAATAATTCTCCAGCCAAGCCATGACCTATCTCTGGTCTCCCCACATCCTACAGCAACATGTTGTCAAGGACAAGGCCTGGTGCTTTATATTTTTTTTTAATATTTTTTTAGTTGTTGATGGACCTTTATTTTATTTATTTATATATGGTGCTGAGAATTGAACCCAGTGCCTCATACATACTAGGCAAGTGCTCTACCACTGAGCTACAACCCCAGCTCTGGTGCTTTCTATTTAATTGTATTGATAGCCATAGAAATAGGAATGAAGACCAGTGGATGACCTTCCTATCGTCTCACATAATCAGCAAAGCGCATGCTCTTGACCCAGGATATGGAGGTTCAGATACTAATTCTGCACCTTGGCTTTAGCATTTTCTCAGCTGTAATGGAGATGGTCATGTACCTCTACCAGAAAGGGTTGTGTGAGGGTTTTCTTTAATACATGGTAAATAACCATAATTGTTAGCTGCTATTGTCTCTATGTAGCTAATGTCAAATTGATGTTTATTTGGTAATAAGTAGGGAGTATTACAGTATAGAACACGCATGTGTTGGAGACCCTGGGCAGATTCAAAGGGGATGGGGTAAAGGCAAAATGAGGAGGATTATGTAAGTTATTTTGAAACAATAATCTTTGGCCACAGGATTAATAATAAGGGTGTTCAGGGATCCATAACAAAAGTGGTGTCGATTCAAGGTTGAATGGACAGTTACTGGACAGAGGTCCTTTGTAGAAATATTTCCTGTCTCAGGTATCAGTGGTCATTGTTCAAGGTTGTGGTTCTGGCAGACTCTTTTGTCATAGTTCTTGTTATCAGGCATGTGTGCATGAGATCCCAGTTGTTATAACCTTCCAGCTTTATTTATTATTTATTTATTTTTGTTAGGCCTTGGTATAAGTTGACCCATCTTGATTCTGATCGCTTTTATCCTGGAGTTTTTTTTTTTTAAATATTAATTTTTTAGTTGTAGTTGGACACAATACCTTTTATTTTTATGTGGTGCTGAGGATTGAACCCAGTGCCTCACACACGCTAGGTGAGCTCTCTACCACTGAGCCACAACCCCAGCCCCTACCCTGTAGATATTTGCATGTAGCATTTGTCATGTTTACATTTTTCTGAAAGGATTGCTGGTGATTTAGAAAGCATCTATAAGGAAAATATTCAGTGAAATTGATGGTGAAATAATGTTGATATAGATCATAAATCACAGGCATTTGATAATTTCTAGGATAATCTCCTTTGTCTCTGATTCCCTTCTTATTTGCCATGCCTTCTGCTTTTCTCCCTCTTCTTAATTCATGTATAATTTGTTTGGAACTATAAGTTTTACATGTAACACACTGTCTTATACTTTATGTGTCTTCCCCAGAGAAGGTTTCCAGTGCCTCATGGGTGCGAGGGACGCCAGGATCCTGCTGTGGGAATTGCATGCCTTCTGCCTCACACCTGTTCAGGCCCGACTCCATTTTCCATCCACAGAGCCCCTCAGCTGTCTCTACACCTCCCTACTCTAGGTCCCTCATTTTCTTTTCTGACCTTCTTATTTCACATCATTCCCCTGCCTGTTATTCACCTGCACACAGAAATATTCCCAAGGGGCAGAAGAACATGAGAGTGTTGGCCAAGCCCTTCATCAGTGCACAGATTCCTGTGAGGCTGAACTGGTGGTTTCAGTTTAGGCCACTGGAAGAATCTACCAGTCCTGAGCAGAATAACAAGCATCCTTCAGATTTTACTTACTACTAGTGGCTTTTGTCTCCTTTAGTTATATTCTTTTCCTTTCTGAGCATTATCTACAATCACTTCTGATAAATGCCCCTCTATCCATATTGGGCTTGTTTTGTATCTCTCCTAAAGGTACTTTTTAAAAGTTATTTACTTTTTAGTGTTTTACTTTTTTGTGGTGTTGGAGCTGGAATCCAGGGCCTCACTCGTGCTAAGCACACATCTACCACTGAGCTACACCTTCAGCCCCCACCTAAACTTTACCCTCTAGTCCTGCCTTGTTACTTGCAGCTCTTTAACAAATATATATTTTTTAATCTCCAAGAGGCACTGACAAGAAAGAGCTCTTGCTTCTTTCAACCGTTTGCATGCCCTTGTGCAAATTACTTAATACCTGTGAGTTTGATCCTTACCCCGTAAAATGGATAAAAATACCTACTTGTTTCCTTCAGAGAGGTTTTTATGCTCAAATAAGATAATGGGCTATACAAACTTGGAGATGAACAGAAGAAAGAAAATACAAAGTGTCACTCTCATACGCCTATTTCCTTAAGGATGGACTGTATTTAGGAAATCTGCACTTTTTCCATATCCTTAGGCGCACTGGAGTTGCAAACCTCCAGTTGCTGTGAGTTCACTAGTTGCCATCTTGTGTTTGTTTCGGTCAATTGCCAAATATTCTCTAACTCCCATTCTTCACTGCCTTCACTGTTTCCAACCTTCCTTATTTAACCTTTTCCTCTGATGTTCCTGCCATATTCCTTGCTATATAAATGATTTATATAGCTCACACATTGCTTACTCAGATAATATATAAATATTATATATTATATTTAATTTTTAATTGCAAATGAACACAATACCTTTATTTTTATTTATTTATTTATTTTTATGTGGTGCTGAGGATCTAAACCAGTGCCTCACACATGCCAGGTAAGTGCTCTACCATTGAGCCACAACCCCAGCCCTCAGATAATATGTTCTTTTTTTTAATTAGTTTTTTTAGTTGCAGTTGTACACAATACCTTTATTTTATTCATTTATTTCCATGTGGTGCTGAGGATCGAATCTAGTACGTCACATATGTGAGGCAAGCACTCTGCCACTGAGCCACAGTCCTAGCTCCTCAGAGAATATTCTTAAAATGTATCTGGGGTGTTCTTTTGGGGGTTTAGAACCATAGGAAAGCATGGTTCTCCCTTTCTATTTCTTTTTTTAAATTTTTTATTTTTAGTTGTAGATGGACACAATACCTTGATTTTGTTTATTTATTTTTATGTGGTTCTGAAGCTCGAACCCAGTGCCTCAAATGTGCTAGGGCAGTTCTCTACTACTGAGCCACAAGCCCAGCCCGCCCTCTTTCTATTTCTTAGTAGTTTTCCAAAGAAAACATGATACAGATGAAGTGCTTAACAGATGCTGCTTCCTAGACATGCAAATGTAGATATATTATAAGTGAATTTGTTCTGTTTGCTCTTTTTAACCAATGATTTTCTATTTAATTTGGATAGTAACTTAAGATGGTGAGTTCGTTAGCTTCTAGTACTAATGTGTATTCACAGTCTATTTATAAAAATTTCACAAAGAATTTTACATTTTGAATTAGTTTCTTATTAATAGTCATAGAAAGGTTTATATTCTTTAGTTTTCCTTTTCCTCCCTGACTAGAGCCTGAATATTTTAATATTTTTGAATATAAGGAAATGTTTTCTTAATATATTTATAAAATTATCATTACTTTCTGAGCTATTGTCTTCATTAAATAAGATGTTGAGATACCTTCTCTTTGTGCTCTGAATGAGGTTACATTCATTAGAACTCTCTGATCTGCATTGGTTTTATAGAACTCTTGAGACCACTTGGGAAGAAAGATTAAAGTTAATATTTGGATTTTTATTGAATGAAATAGAGTTCCTCTACAGATGCCTGGGTAGTCATTCCGACTTTTTATTTTAGGAGTTACATTTCTTAAAAATGTTTACTGCCTTCTTAATGCTTTCCAGGAACCCGCTCCTGAATTTCCGGTGTCTCAGGTAAAGGTTTAGCTATAGCTTTTAGTTTAGAGAATATTTTAGTTAATGATTGCTTAGTTGTTGCTGTAGAGTAGAAAATTTGCTGTATAGCTACTTGGCTTGTAGATTAGAAAATAAGCCTAAGCAGGCATTCTGTACTTTCTTATGTAAATAAATGTTTACATTTCCAACTTTCGTATATGTGAATAGTCTTGTAGAACCAATGTGCTCTATTCATTAAGACTTAGGGCTTTAATAGAAGTGTCAAGATTGAACAGAGGATGAAAACAATAAAGACTGAGGCAAGGGGAGGCATGGGCGTAGGAAGGGACCTGGAGCCAGCACGACCACAAATGTCAGGAAAGACATTATGGTTAGGACAGTAGGTCTTAAAGAGAGTGGGCCAGCTCTGCCTGGAAGGTCTGAGTCTTAACTGACCTGATGGCTCTAGGAGGGAGGAAGCTGCCACAGTGAGAAAGGAAGGAAGGGACAATGGCCAGACAGCCATGTTGACCAAACCAATGTGGTTAGATTTAGCCAGAGAGACCTGCTAACTGGACAAGACAGGGAATCAGGAGGAAACTCTGGGAGAAGAAGTCTGGTGTGGGGCCTCCTGCCAGTCCATGCTTTTATCCACATGGGTTCCCAGTGAGTCTGGGAAAAAGAAGAGCTTCGAATCAGAGAGCTTAAATGTGGCCAGGTGTTTGCCCTGCCAAGTGAGAGAGAATGCTCCCAGTGTGTTAGAGGTAAATAAGGGATTTGAGCCTCATCTGAAGTTCACATGTGTAATGACCAAGCCTTTTAGAACAGCAAATATACAAAGTATTCTCATGGAGGTTTGTATAGTACTAAACACTGTAAGTAGGTTAAGTAGGTTAAAATATAGCACTCTGTTCTTTGAAAGGATGACATTTGTCTTTTGTATGTTCATAATCTTGGTTTACAAACTGATGCTTGGGGAAACTTGTTTTTTTTTTTTTTTTTCCATGATACAAGTTATTCAAGAAGGATCTAAATTATGAAAAGACAAAGTTTTTGTCTTCAGTAATTTTGTAAGATTTTGATTAAAATTAAATTGAAACACCAACAATATGCATTGTAGGTATGACTGGAACACTGTAAATGGCATTTAAAAGTTTCTAAGTGGCACATAGGCTTCATGTAGCACCTAAATTTCTCTTCCTGGTCTGTTCCTGTAGACTTAATTATCCACTGGATAATGATCTAAAAGGGAACAAGGCTGGCTGGATTCTTTTGACCTTACTATTCACACTTAAAATGTTTTTTCTTTTTTGCACATGTTTACAACTTGAAAAGAAATGAGGCTTTACAATATCACTTCAAAATCTTGTGCCTAAATTTTTGTTTGCATAGAGTAAGCAGAGTGTAAAATATTACTACTGATTTATATGATATCTGAATAGATCAGAGATAATATTCGTTTCGTATACTTATTTAATAATAATCTATCAAAATTATCTCTTACATACCTTAAAACTCCCTGTCTTGTATGCTGTATAAAAAGAAACAGAATAAAGCATTTTGCTCAGCCAGTAGTTTTGACCTCCTCATGTTTATTTTCATAACTAAAATCTGATTACTGGGGGCTGGAGTTATAGCTCCATGGAAGAGTGCTTGCCTAGCATGTGTGAGGCACTGGGTTTGGTTCTCAGCACCACATATAAATAAATAAAATAAAGGTCCACCAACAACTAAAAAATATTTTTTAAAAAATATGATTACCCTCACAATACATAGAACCAGTAAGTTAATATATTTCCTGATGTTAGCTGGCAGGTATATGTCTCAAGAGTAATGTCCTTGGGGCTGGGGACGTGGCTCAAGCGGTAACGCGCTTGCCTGGCATGTGCGGGGCGCTGGGTTTGATCCTCAGCACCACATAAAAATAAAATAAAGATGTTGTGTCCACCAAAAACTAAAAAATAAATATTAAAAAATCCTCTCTCTCTCTCTAAAAAAAAAAAAAAGTAATGTCCTAGAGACTTAACTCAGTAGGTGAATGAAATGGGATTGTTTTTTACAGACATAAGGGAAATAATTGATATGATGATTATTCATGTAGTTTGGGAGAAAGTTTTGATTTGTTAATATTTCTAGTACATAAATATGCAACTATATTTACATAAATGATTATTTTTAGTTGCACGATGCTACCATTTATTAATGTTTTAAGCATAGCTAATAAAAGAAATTTATAGTTTTATTCAGATTCAAGGGGCAATTTGAGATTACTGTGTGTGCTTTATTATTCTTAAAAAAAACAGGCAGAGGATTTGGGGCTGTAAAACATACTTGGCTTATTTCCAACATAAAAAAAATTATTATTTTTTAAAGCTAAAGCCCCATCTGCTGTTTTTATTAAAACCTCAAGAATAGTTCATATTGCCAGGAGTAGTTCTTTGAATGCAGTCTTTTATTTATTTATTTATTTTTTTATTGGTTGTTCAAAACATTATAAAGCTCTTGACATATCATATTTCATACATTAGATTCAAGTGGGTATGAACTCCCATTTTTACCCCAAATACAGATTGCAGAATCACATCGGTTACACATCCACATTTTTACATAATGCCATATTAGTAACTGTTGTATTCTGCTACCTTTCCTATCCTCTACTATCTAGATCCATTTCTTAAGAATTAGATTTTAAAAATTGAAACAAATATAGATCTATTATGTTTTTGAAAAAGTGAATAGAACTCTGAGAATAGAACAAGATGTTTCTGTTTGAATTCTAAAGTATTTATTCATTTGATGGGGAGGGAATAGTGGATTTGCTTTTCTATTATTCACTTTTAGCTTAATATAAAAATGTGCATCTCTTGAATATTAAGAGATTAGCAGGGGCGTGGATGTAAGAAGTATGGTAGAATAGACTATGAGATAACAGTGCAAACATTAAAATAGTTCAAAATAAAGTATGTGCTTGGGTGACTAATAACTGACTGTATAAATGATACCTAATTATAAAAACTTGGCTTTTAAAGAGCTGAATTAACTAGGACTCTAAATCATAGTTTGAGAGCTTCTTTAGCTCCTCATCAGGATAGAAAACCCTATAACTTGATGTGCCATAAGTCATCATCTGGCCTCTGCTTTTTGCTCCATCCTTGTTCCCTGACTGCTCCTTTTGTGCAGCCTGATTCTTCAACCATACTCTATTCTTGAAGAGTTTGCAAACACACGTGAGCTCCCGAACTAGCCTGCCTTTGACCTCGTGGCCCCTTTTCCTGGCCATAGCTCCACACTCTTCCTCTTATACACTCTGTCTGCCTCCAGGCCGCTAGGGGTCTTTCCTCTCTCCTTCCATGGTATGTTTCTTTTTAGTTTTTATTTTTATTATTGCATCTTCCCATTACACTGGAATTCTTTGGAGCTAAAACTAGAACTATGACTTCTTCTTTGTATTCCCAGACGTGGCCCTAAAGTAGGTATTCATGAAAACCAGCAGAACCCATGTCCTGCTTTATTGTTTCAACAGAAAGTATTGCAGTCCTTCTTCCTGTCCACCAGAGTCCCGAGCAAAGGACATCCTTTTGAAAATTTAAAGCTATCAGATACTTTCAGGGCAGCTACTGTGGAGTTTTAAGATAAATCAGAATGGCTTATTTCCATCTTTGAAGTAAAATTAAACCATTAGTTCAAGCCAGTGATGACTTCCCTGGCCCCTGGGAATAACTATATAAGATCTGGCATCTTTCCTGATCTTTTATGAGTGAAAACCTCAGATCATTTTTATCTTTGGTGGCTCACACAGCTAGAGGCAGTTCAATTGGAATTGATTTTTTAAAAGAACAAATTGGTTCTTTGAGTCCATGTTCTATTTATTCAATTGTATAAAATTCACACAAAACATTTGCCACATTTTGTTAAAAGTTATTTGATAATTAGCAAATCACATCCAGAAAAGCACAACCCCCAAATTTTAGGAACTGAAATATATTGTGAAGACAGCCTTTTTTATTCCCATTAAAATGAAAGCATAACATTTTAATTTTCTTTTAAAAAATGTTCATATGTGTATTCACATAACTTTAGTTCACAAGGGTCTCCACTCTCCAATTTCTGTAAAATCTGTTTCCTCTAACACACATTTGTCACTGTCAAGCACTGCTTTGCTCTGCCGTTCAATCCACTAGATGATACGTTCAGGAAAATTAGGATCCATGTTGGGTTTTTTATGCAAGGAATTTTTGGACCTTCTGTAGCTCTCAACGGTTCCTATCTTGGCTCCTTTGCCTTCATTCACCCTCCTTCACAGCCAGATCCCTAGAATATTTAGTCCTCATCCCTTCCCAAATGTCCCTTGCTGCTGCTCTCGCTAGATTCTAGAGTCAGGTCTGTGCTGCGGCTTCAAGAGTTGCCTTCTTCCTTTGAGAGTTCTCCATGGGACACCTACCTTATCTTTCACTACTTCTCTAGTGAAGCAAGAAGGTATGGTTTCTGGTAAAGCAGTTTTGTATGTTTAATGGGAACTGAATTTCTCAAACTAACGCAGAGCAGATAAGATATTTTCTAGGTCAGATTCCTTAATTACCTTTTCCATGTGTTCACCCCCATACTAGCAGGTTTTCTGCAGACTAGATTACAAAATTACCAGTGTTGATTAGTTATTAGGAATCAAGAGAAATTGATCTTGGCTTAATTCAAACCAATATTTCTCGAATGCCTATTGTATACAGAAACCATGGGATAGGTACTATTGAAAACTCAGAAGCGAAAAGGTAAAAAAACTTGCATTCTGGGGCTGGGGATGTGGCTCAAGCGGTAGCGCGCTAGCCTGGCATGCGTGCGGCCCGGGTTCGATCCTCAGCACCACATACAAAGATTGTGTCCGCCGAAAACTTAAAAATTAATAAATATTAAAATTCATTTAAAAAAAAACTTGCATTCTGAAAATATAAAAAAGGATAAGCATATGCCCAGATAATTGTAGTCAAATATAGTATCACCAGACTAGAGGTGTTCAGAGAAGATTTTGAGAAAGACAAGGGGACTATGGGTTTAAGTTGTAGAATTAGGGAAGGCTTCAGGAAAGTCTTGGCCCTGAAAGAGGAAGGCAGAAAGAGCACAGTGGTTGTAGCTTTATTAATTTGCGCTCAAGTTATTATTCTATAAAACTTTTTTTAAGGATCTTTCTTTACTTATAAAAAGAAATGTTAGGAGACTATTTGTGAGGTAATTGACATACTAGTGGTTTCTTGGTTAATAATGACCTTGCCTTCTTTCATTAGTTTTTTGATATAGCCTTTTAAATTAGCATAATGTGTTAAATGGTAAACATGTTCAATAAAAAGTAAAACAGTACAAATCATGGCTAGCTTCTGTAAGCTATCTAGTATTTCTAATGCTATTTTAATCCATATTTTATTTTTCCGTGGTTTTTAGGCAGCTTGGATTTTAAAAGCACGAGCCTTAACTGAAATGGTATACATAGATGAAATTGATATAGATCGGGAAGGAATTGCAGAAATGCTTCTGGATGAAAATGCTATTGCCCGAGTTCCCCGTAAGTATTGGTTCTCTGGTCAAATTAATGGAACGCTATTAGGAGGAATATTACATATATACAGGATGACATGCATACATATTTCTATGCTTTATGTCAACCTGTCTGTATATAAACATTGTATACATGAAGCATATGTGTGTGTGTGTGTGTGTGTATGAAAAAATTAAGTACAGGGTTTCTGTTCTATCTTAAAAAGCAAAGGTTTTCCTTCCAGTATTCAGTTATATTATATCTTAAGGTGTAAGATTGATGTATAATAATTTTCCAGTAAAAGCTATTTTATGCATTTAAGATGTTATAAAATATGTCCTCCTTAAAATGTTTATCAACATATCAGAAGATTGTTTATCTGGGAACCTAAGCTTCCAAATAACAGAAGTGTTCTAAAATAATTTTTTTGAAAACAATCACTTAAAAGCATCACTTCTTTGTTATAATGAAAGATGATTTGCTCTGATACATGATGTGAGTTGATGAGATGATATGTTTGTTGGGCAGTGAATGTCTGTTGGAATTGTCACAGGGCCCAGTCCCCAGCTTGCAGGTGTAAGTAGTGCAAATGGTATTAGATAATTACCATGACTATGGTGGTCTTGCTGGTAATTTACTAGTAGTTACAGTTCACAGTTATAATTTAGAAGATAAGAACTATTTTAAAGCTCCAAAAGGAAGCTGGGGAAAAAAAAACACGTTTCATGTTAAAATGTCTTTCTTCCCCATTACTTTAATATTTTAGACTTAAAATACCTAAATTCTAGATGTGGTTGGTAAATGATCTTTTACTGAGAGATGTTTGTATGAAAGATAATTAACCTGTGAGTATAGGACCATCATTTTGAACTTTGGAGCCTGCTAGTCTTGAATTTGAATCCAGGCTCTACTAATGGGTTGACCTGTTTACTTAATTCTGTCAACCTTTATTGAATGGATGGATTCGTACTACCTACCTTACAGACTTAATGAGAAGAGTTAATGTGATAGCATAAGTAATATGAAAGATACTCCTTGGATATTAATCTCAAACTCATTTCTCTAAAATACGTTTTCTGCCAATAATGTGTTTTTTCACCAGGACAGCACAATTCTGAAAATTAGATTAGCTGACAGTTTTTATAGATTAATAGATAATGTATAAATTGAATTTGCCATCTCATCCCCTAGGCCCTGGAACATCTTTGAAACTCCCTAGAACTAATCAGACAGGAGGGCCTAGTCAAGCTGTCAGGTATGTACTTCTGTGTCATACCCTCTGCCACTAATGATTGACTATACTGTTTGAGAGTCTTTCCTTAATCAATCATCTTTGTATTTTAATAATTTACAATTTTTACAGGCCAATCACTCAAGCTGGAAGGCCCATTACAGGTTTCCTTAGGCCCAACACACAGAGTGGAAGGCCTGGTACCATGGAACAGGCCATCAGAACACCCAGAACTGCCTATACAGCACGTCCCATCAGCAGCTCATCTGGAAGATACATCAGGCTGGGGACAGTAAGTTCTGTCAGCTTTCCCATAGTATTACCCAAGTAACTTTATTATATTATTTTCTACTATTCTTACAAAGAAAAATTGTATGGAAATTTTGAAGGGATTCTTTGTGCTTATGTTGCCTTTATAATTTTTATGCACATTAAAGTCAATTTGTATTTCAAGAAAAGATTTCAGATTTCTTCTTCTATAATTTTTTTTTCTCCCTCATAGGCTTCCATGCTTACAAGTCCTGATGGACCTTTTATAAATTTATCTAGACTGAATTTAACAAAATATTCCCAGAAACCTAAATTGGCAAAGGTATGTACTTAAAATGATTGTAAATTATAAGATAATGTTAGAAGTATGATGATAATGACAATGTAGGAAATAGATAAAAATTTGTGAAGGAAAGGCCACAATTTAATTGAAATAGAAACGTTCAATTACTATAATATGTAAAAATTCTCTCAGTCTTAAGGAAAGTCAACCAGAAAAAAATATACCATTATTATAGAAAATTCTTTTTTCCAAATAATAAAGAACAGTAATTTTTAACAAAGAAAGCAGATATGCAGTATTTCATCATAGGATGAAGCTTAGAATTTTTTTTTTTTGGTATGTGTGTGTGTGTGTGTTACATCTTGGACCATTCTCAGAAAAATAATTTTCTCTCTTTGTAGGATTATAAAGCTTTCAAAAGGATAATACAAATATGTACTTTTAATTAGCAATGAATCAGGCATATCAATAAAGATTACTCAATCCAGACAGTGGGCAAGTCAACTGTGTTGGTAATTCTAATTACTCAGAGATAAAATATTCCTTTAAAAAGAAAATTAGAAGAAGAGGGATAGAAAGTAAGAGTGGGAGGGAGAGGGGAGTGTAAAGGAGAGAGAAAGAGAAAAAAGAAAAAAAATGAAAAAGAGAAAGAAAGGGAAAATGTGTGTGACTTTCCAGTGTAAAACATTTGGGGTTGGGCTTGGAATAATTTGGAGACAGGAGTGCTTGATGCCTGGCCCAGTTTTTAGCTTGAAGTCTCTGTGAACTCTGTGTGCAGTGATGCACTCATTCCTGATCCCAGTTCTGAGGGTGTTGAACATATTTCCCAAGTATCAAATGTCCTGGGGTAAATAAAAATGGACACTAATTGTATAGATTTGAGGTTTCCATTCTAAAAAGAAATGCCTTTGGTAGACAGGTAATCAACCTATAATATAAAGTCTCATGATTTTTTTTCTTCAATTCTTTGTTGGATGGCAGTCTAGTCAACTGCATTTGGCAGAATGGTAAAGCTTTACTTATTTTCCTCTCCTTAATGAGGGTGGAGTGTTAAAAACATATCATATAGAATATCTGTTTCCCTATCTTGTTCATCCATTTGTTTGAGGTGACTGGCTGGCTAGTGCAGTCAGTGGAGGCATTTCCCACATTAAATTAAGATGCATGCGGGATAGACCCGGCCTAAGTGCTAAATTCAACCTGAACTAGAGTTTGTGCTTTTTTTTTGGTATATCACAGAAATAATGCCACATTTTTCTGTTTTTGGTCCCCAACTTGCCTTGGCTCATCAGGACTCCTTTCTAATATTAGTGTATTTCTTGGGATATCTACAGAGATGCTTTGACAGTCTTGAGAGTTGTAACCTTCTTTTCATGACAGTGGTAGTATCAACTACACTCTTAATTTTTGTTTGTATTTGTAACAGAACAAATGAAAGGATTGTTATGATTTTTTTTTTTTAAGAAGGGTCTTGTCCTGATTTCTTTCTTTCTTTTTATTGGCCTCTAGGTCTTCTCTGTTAATAACCTTGATATTTCTCAGGGGCACTAGTCTCCTTGCAAGTGTAAAATAGTGGCTATATGGACCTCCCAGAGTTTGAGTGAATTGGTCTGCTCTGGGACCCCCATGTAATTCCAGTGTGCAGTTAGGCTGAGTAGCCCTCTGTTAAAGAAACTGTGTTTTGAGTCACACAATTACTATAAATGCCATGTAAGTGTAGTTTTAAAAATTAATTTGAAAAAGCCCTTACTTTGCACTCATTTCTACTTTGTTTCAGAAGGAACTTCCAGATTTTCCTTCTCTAAATTGCCATTATCTAGTCACAATCACTGCATAAGATATATAGAGAGTATTAAAAACTGTTTTATTGCAATCCTAACTTTAGTCTAAGAAATAAAATGAACTTTTCATTTGTATCTTTCTAATAAAATAGTTATGAAATATGCAAGAAAAAAAGATCAATTCTTTGAGCTTTTTCTAGTTTGTAGTCTGTAGGAACAGGAATCACTTGCAAATAGAAAACTTGTAAAATGGGAGATTCTAACAAATGATGGCTAGATCCTTTACTTATAAATCTCAGGCACTTTAGAGTGTTCTGGATTTTTGGTTCAATCTATATTTGAGTTTTGTTATAACCAAAGAGTGCTTTTATTTAAATACAATCTAATGTGTTTTTGTCATTTTTTTCTCTATAGGATTTGTTTGAATATATCTTTCATCATGAAAATGATGTTAAGACTGTAAGTCGTGAATTCATGCTATTTTCTTTTATTGTAGTTTTCTGACTTTGGGGGTTTAGATTCTGAAATGTTCATTTCTTTTCTTGAAAAAAATGGGATTATTAAATATTGGAGAGTAACTAATACTTTCAAATCCACTCTAAGTTTCAGTGGGAACATTTGTATAAATATAAAAGTGGTAAGAACTGTGCCTGGTTCATAGATAATGTAGCTCTTCTCTAAAGGGGCAGATATAGATAATTGCGAATACAGCATAGCATGCTTGTGTTAAAGTTTATTCTTTACACAAATAGTCAGCACTGTTGATCCATTTCTTGTTATTCTGTATAGTGTATTATTGGTTTACTAATATGTATATTTTTGATTTCTTTATAGTGTGCCCCTCTCTCTCACCTTTAACGTTTTATGATTGAAGATTTTAAACATTCCAAAGTAGAAAGAATAGTATAAAAGTCCCTTATCACCCATCATCCAACTTCAGCAATAGTTAATCATCCTGGTAGCTTCTCAACAAAGAATTTTGAGGTTATATGCATGCAACTTTTCAAATTTATTTAAATTTTTATATGAAATTATGTAAATGATAGAAACCTTATGAATTTCGTGAAGTTAGATGAAGTTAATTCTTCACTATCTGGTAGTATTTTTCTGCATTTTCCTTTTAGTTCAGGGAAAAAAGTTTTTATATCCATATGTTAAATATTAAGGAAAATAAAAATGTTTTCCTTAATTGCATTTTCTGTGTGTCAGCCATGATGCCATACTACAATAGGAGAACTAATTAAAATATGATACTTTATCTTTCCTCTGTAAGACAGGCAATCTAGCTGAGGAAGTAAAATTGACAAAAATGAAACAATTAAAGAAGCAATTTCCAAACTGAAATTTTTACCAAGTATCAAAGGGAAAAATTCAGAAGGGGTGATATTAGGGAAGATCCACAAACTAAGTGGAATTTTATGGAAAGAGGGGAAAAGAAATGTGAAGAAATGGCAAAAACGAGAAGAAACTGGAATGAGAAATAAATAGGCCTTATCCTAAAAAATGAGAGCACCAAACAGACATTTCAAAGAAAGAAGAGAGAGCACTTGATGATAGGTTTAATATTGGGGACAAAGTAGAGATACAGTTCAAGTCTGCTACCTAAAGATGTTATAAGAATGATGGTTTTACTAATTGAAGTGGGATAATTAGGGGACATGGTCAGTTTGTGAAGAAATTTAGTAATTCACTTAAAGATATTTTGATACCAGTGGTGACACCATTGCATGGGTCGAGAGATGTGGTACTAAAATGTAGGTGAGAACCTGGGCCAGGTTTAGTATGGGAGTTACTAGGATGAAATGTTCATAGATGTAGTCACAGGGAAAAGGGAAAAGTAAGGTAGCGGCAACTGAGAAACCATGCACATTGCTCTTAATAAAAGTCAGCTGTTAGAGGATTTCAGTGTGATGATGTATGAAATCATGCATCATATAAGAGGTACTGTCTTCAAAGGAAACGTTCTAATATGATTACATTTCATAAATGAGTAAATCTCTAATTACTAGATTTTTATAAAGCTATATACACTATTTTTTTTTGAAAATTAATTCATTATTTATTGTAATGGAGCAACAAGAGTGTGCTAGCCTCTATTCCAGATCTAAGATCACACAGAGGGGCAGGAAGGCAAAATATTGATTCTTTTGGATATTATATGCTGGTTGGGCAAGGAATAGAAAAAGCAAATTCAAAAATATGTAATGTGACTTGTGGTAATAAATACAATAACAACAACAAAAAAGCAGGAAAGCATGGGAGGGAATAGTTACTGACGTGAGGAATGGTGCTGTTTTGGATGGAGCAGAGGTGGTCAGTGAAGTCCACTGAAAGCACTGAAACCAAACCTGGAGAAGGGAAGATGGGAGCCATGCATCTATGTGTAGTAAGAGCATTTCAGTCAGGGAGAACTTTCCCTGCAAAGGTCTTGGGAGGAGCTTGTTTGGATTGCTTAAGGCAGAGCAAGGAGGCAGTGTGCCTGAAGCGAGGCCTGAAAGGAGAAATTGCTGTAGGTGATGAGTGCTGAAACTGTAGGTCATAGGCCATGGTGATGGTGTGGACATTAATTAGTAAAGTCATCCTGAGGATGTTTCCTACCTCTTGTGGAGGAATAGGAGTCACATTCAGAAAAACAGAGGACTGGAGTATAGTTCAGTGGTTGAGCATGTGCTTAACATGTATGAGGCCCTGGGCTCAATCCCTGGCACCAGAAAAACAAAAAAACAAAAAAACAAAAAACCTCAATCAAAACAAAAATAGCATTTATGCCCTGCAGGACCGAATTTGTGTGTGTGTGTGTGTGTGTGTATGCATATATATGCACATACATATATATGTGTGTGTGTGTATACTATTTTTGCAGTGCTGGGGATCTAACCCAGAGCCTTGTGCTTGTTAGCTAAGTGCTCTATCATTGAGCTCCATCTGAATTTATATTCTAAACAATCTAAGGACTAGAAAATTTTAACCTTTATGTGTTATGTGATAGTATCATAGAATGTATTTATAGAACTTCATAAATATTGATTTTTAAAAATTTGACCTTAAACAAAGAGAGCAGTGACTTTCAAACTTTTTATGTAAGCAGCAAATTGTTTTTATTCAAATGAAGTTTTATCCACATCCCAATATTTAAAGCAGACACAAGTGGTGCTTCAAGTGTGGCAACTAGAACTTACTTACTGGATTCCTCTTGCTCCATCTATCCCAAGAGCCCTTCAAACCTTAGGCCTGTTATACTAAATAAGGCTCATTGTCTGAAGTAACTGGAGAATTTTAAAAAAATGGGTTTCTGTCTCTATGTTAGACTTCCTGAATCAGAATCCCCATGGGGACATCTGGTGAATCTGTTGTTATTAAGAACTCCATTGGCAGTAATAACTTTCAGCCAAGATTAGGAACTACTTGCTATAGAGTACAATTTAAAAACTATAGAAACATTAGAAAGTATTTCTTCTAATGTAGGAAAATGGAGCTGAGGATGTAGTGGGGGTCCTACAACAAGGAGGCTTAGCAGACCTTGAAGGCCAAACAAAGTTCCACATAACAAAAGGAGGCGTGTCCAGCCCAATGAAAGAAATCAGCGAATTAATAGAAAAGAAGCAACAATAATGCCCTCAAGTATATCTAAGTAACAAAGAAATGGTACAAAATACTACTGTGAACTGGAAATTCCCATTTATAATTTTTTATTTTTATTTTTAGAAATAATAAAGGACTCAGTATATTAGAAACAAGCAGTGCCAAACACAATTTTTGACTTTTTTTTTGTGATAGCTTTCTATAATTCATTAAATGATAATATTAAGAAAATTTGTATAGAGACTTCCTTTTAGACATTTAATAAGTAAGGAAGTGAAAAATTTTAAACTACCAAACAATAGAATATTTCATCGACTAAGCTGGATTTGTGAAACAATTGCAAAGTAAAAACTGATATATATATATATATATATATATATATATATATATATATATATATATACACACACACACACACACATATGTGTATATATAAATACATACTGATATGAATTATATAAACTTACCAATATGTGTGTGTATATATATTCATATATGTGTACACACACACATACATATATATATATATATATATATATATATATATATATATATATATATACTTTAAAATGAAAATAGTGATACTATTAGATTAAGATGTATTCATGCCTCAAATATTTGTCACATTCCTGCATTGCATCAGCACCTTGATGACAATAGTGAAGGAAATAGCTGCTCCTTATGACACTAAGGGAGAGTGAATCTAATTTTACCTTTTTTCCCCCTCCCAAATTTAACAATGTTATAACTTTTTATACATAAATTAAACTATAAATTATGGACAAGAATAAATTAAAATAATTGTTTTCATCTTCTTTCCTCTAGTATCTATATCATGGCACATCTAATGAAACAATTTGTTTTGCTTTTTCTTAGTGAAAAGTGCAAACTGTTGGTTCCTCTGTTTTCGTTTTTATTCACAATTCATTTACTGAGTTATTAACTAATTGACTTATTCTTTAAACAAATAATTACTGAGTGCCTACCAGTTGATCCTATTACTGGTGCTGGGAGTTCTGAGCAGGACCGATGCCCGTGGCTGTTCTCTTACTCTCTCACTGGCTTGCTACATTATAGTGCTCTTGTGGATCAGCTTGTTCCATTAAAATGTCATTTTTAGATTTTACCACAAATGTTATTTTCTGAATGGAAGAAGGATTTAGATAATGAGCACAAAGCATGCTTCCCCCCCCCACCCCCCCATGTATTTTGCAACATGAACTGGAAAAAGAAAAAAGAAATTTTTTTTCTTAATGTGCTTAAGAAATCAGGAGTGCTTTTATGTTTGTTACTTTAGATAGCCTCCAATTTTTTTAAATAAACTATTTCACATTCATCATTATAGATAAATATAAATAATACTGTGAAGTGATATTGAAATATAATAAATAATAACCTTTATTAATAAAATCTTTGATCTTTAATCAAACCTAAATTTGTCTTGAGTTCTTGGTACTTTCTTATTTGGCAGGGGCACTATGGACAAAACTAAAGTGACATGTGTTTTGGTGATTCTATATTTATCTAAACACATACAGGGAGAATGCTATATATACCTATAGAGAATCTTCAAAGTGGTATTTAAATATTAATAAAAAGTAAAATACAAAAAATGTATTTCTGCCTTTGAGTTTTTAATTACTCTCTTTCCCCTACTCTCTTTTTGGCCAATATTGGCCGTATTGACAAATCTAAAATGGCATATGGGTTGATGATTCTGAACTCTTTATTTCCATATGCTCTTTAATTTCATCATCCTGAAGTTGTCAGAAGCATAACGATAGTAAAAGGATGACTTTTAAAACTTTCCAGGTTGGACATACTCACAAACTTCATCTAGCTCTACCAAGGTTCCTTGTATAGTTAGAGATTTGTAAACCTATGACTTAAAAATAACAGGCTAGTCCTTTGTTAACATATAGATATTAGTTTTATTAAATTATTCAAATATTTAAAAATGTAAATGTAGTTAATCATTTGTAGAAATTGGGAAAGGCTCTAAAAATATAGGTCTTCTGTTGCCACTTTAAAAGTTTAATGCTAGTAGCTTTTAATTATGAATCTTTTACTATGACAATTTTGTTTGGTTCTTAAGCTGTTTTCAACAAATAATTCTTAAGTGCCTATTGTGAACACAGTGACATTCCAAAACACAGCAGAGATGTAAAAGAAAGGTATCTCTCCATAGGGAGCTTAGGGTCCATCTGAAATTGCCACAAATGTTTTCTCTAATGCAGCCTGATTTTTCATGTGAAGTATGATGATTAAAATTAATTTTAAACTCATTTTTATTCTGAATCAATAATTTATGTTTTTGCTTAATTGAATCAGCACAAACACATTGGTTTTCCATGAGATGACTTGTTTCAGGACCATATTTGAATGCAAATTGTTGTTACAAACACTAAATCCAGCCTTGGGATATGTTAACATTTTTTGAATAACATCTTTTGCTAAAAATAGAAGTTCTGTTTATATTAAATATGATAGTGAACATGACTATTTGATGGAAAAGGTCTTTATAAAGATTGAGTTAAAATTCAATGCATGACTGAATTGAACTGATTTAAAATATATTTTCCTAGTAGTTCCAAGGATAATGCTAATTGAAGTTGTACTTATCCCTTCATTTTTATTTAGGGGAGGGGCAGAAAAATAAGCATATGAAAGTAGTATGTAGTTTATTTTTAATTTCCATAGCTTTCAAGTGAATGTTGCCGCAGTCTGGCTGGGCACAATCAGGAGCCACTTGTCAAAAGAAACTAACTTTATTTTTAGAACCACACACGCCAAACAAAACAGCCTCTCAGGAAAAACCCTCAGAGCCTCAACTGCCACCACCGGCTTTCCACAAGCCTCTCTCTCCCACACAAGCTTCTCTCCACCTCCCACAATCCTCCTGCTCTTGAGGCCGATTGGCTGGGTCACGTGGGTGGAGCCAAAAAAGTCCCCCAATGAGCAGCTCCGTGGTCTGAAAGGGCAGGGAAACAGCCCAATGAGCATCACCGCAGAGGAGCCAATCAGCTAGATGTTGCTGGGGCCGAGGAGCCAATCAGCTAGATGTTGCTGGGGCCGCTGTGAGCCAATTATCAGCCAGCAGCTGGAAGTTTGCTGGCAGCTGGAAGTTTGCTGGGGCCCCTTTGGCTGTGGCTCTCAACAGAATGTGTTGATTTTTTTCAAGTCCATTAGGGGCTCAGCATGTCAACAACATTTCTTTGTAAGTGGTTTGTATATTTAGAGATCTCCCCTGGAGCAAGAGAAGATAAAGAACACATGGAAAAGTAATTAATTTTGCAGTAGGAGATTGAGGGCACTCTTCTGGCATTCATTTTAGAAAAGAGTTAATATTAAGAAGTGTTTGGTAATAAGGCAGGCATTTTGAGATAACAACTGAAAATCTAAGAGTAAGTTTAACTGAGTTGTTGGATATTATTGTTATATTAACACTAGCTACAGAATAAAAAAAAATTCAACCTTGAGAGAATAAGATTAAAAAAAATCAGAATTTTCATTTTATAACTCCATCTTCTAGTCACAAAATCTTTGTATGGTCTTCAAATTTTTCTCTTTAATTTTTTTTGTTAGTTGTACATGGACACAGTGTCTTTATTTTATTTATTTATTTTTATGTGGTGCTGAGGATTGAACCCTGTGCTTGCATGTGCAAGACAAGTGCTCTACCACTGAGCTACATGTCCAGCCCATTGGCTTCAAACTTCTGAGTTATAAATATGTATAAAGACTAATTTGTTTCCTCTTGATCAAAATGGTTTCCACTTTATCTGAATAAAAACCTAATTCTTATTTGGTCATCTCTTGTCTGACCGGTGAAGGTAGTTAAGGAGGAGATCTTCCTCAGTTTGCAGCAAAGAGAAGTTTGATCTTTAGAATTGCTAGAAGCTAAGGTGATATCAGAATAATGGAATAATGGTTATTGAAGGTAGTGATTACCCCCATTAACTCCTTTTACTCTTCTTCATAATTCCATTCTCCAAACTTTCTAGCTGCTTACTTGGTCTTTCTCTATTTCTCTACATCTGTCTTTAAATTGCAGACAGTGATTACACAAGTCTGATATACCAAAGTGTTGACTGCCACTATGTTTGGAGGCATTTTGAATTATTAGACAGAAAATAGTGGGGAAAGGGTAAAAACTTATGGAGTTTTTAGTATCAATTTTGTGGCTTGTATGTTCAAACTGTATTCTAATATATTGTACATCTGCTTCTCTTTGATCAGTGTTTCTAACTCATCTGCTGTTAGCCTTCTGATCTGGAACTGATTATTTAGGGAAAATTGGTGGAGCCATCTGGAAACATGAGCAACTGTCTGACTTCTAATGCGTGTTTAGATTGCTTATAATTATATGGTTTATTTCATTATTTATCTTTCTGTTTATTGTCAGAGAAGAAAATTCTAATGTAAAATGAATTGTTTTCAAAGGCTTTGGATCTGGCTGCCCTTTCCACAGAGCATTCTCAGTACAAGGACTGGTGGTGGAAGGTGCAGATTGGGAAATGTTACTGCAGGTAAAACTTCGATTATCTGTGAAGGGTTAGAAGTGGCAATATGTTTTAGAATGTCAAATCTGACACCCCCTTTCTGGATAGATTTCCTCATGAAGAAATAAGAACTTGACTTGAGAAAGCAGTTACTTAACAATCACATGGTAGCAATAAGAACTACAGCAGAGAGAGGCAGACTTTGAGATCATCAGGTCCAACTTCCCTTTCTGAATGAGGAAGCTGAGGCCAGAGAGTGGCTGTGATTTTCATCAGGGACTAGTTTGGGGCTAGAACTGAGTCTGTTGAATCAGCTCCTAATCTCTTGGCTCTTAAGTCTTTTCATTTATACTGATGCTTCCCATCTGTAAGGCACTTTGTGGTTAAGAGTTTGTTTGTATGTTATCATCTCACTTAAATTTCACAGCACTCTGAGTAGTTGATGTAATTAGTAATTTTCTCAGATGAGAAAAATTGAGCCTCACAAAGAGAGAAATTTGTTTAAATTCATATAGCTAATAAGTGGTAGAGCAAAAATTTCTGGTCTATTTTTTGATGACTATTTTCTATTTCCACAATTCCATATTGTTTCTGTATAACCTGGATATTTTTACATTCTCTTAATGTGCAAATGTTTCAAAGCAAACTGAGAGATCAGAAAAGCCACAGTTAATTTTATGAAATATTTGCATAGCAATTCATAAATAAAATCACTTGTTGCTGATTTTGAAATTCAGTTAGCATTTGGGAAAATAGGGACAGATGAACAATTGTATTTCATAAAGGTAAGTATGTCTTTTATTGTTCAAAAACAAGGTGGAGTTCAGTTACTGTGAATACCCTGCAATATTTATAATCTTTAGTTGTCATTAAAACACTATGGGGAAAAGAAGAATATAAAGGGAATAAAAAGGATTTATTGTTCTGCTGTTGAAATTAAGACTACTTTCCATTTAGGCAACTCACACAGAACTCTAAAGTGTTTTTTCCTACTATTAGTTGAGGAAGTGCTTTCTGCCAAAAGGTAATTTAGACCTTCCAAACACTTAACTCTTATGAATACAATTCTTAAAGACAATCTTGAAATCTTGAGCTTCTAAGCAGAACCTTCAGAAATCTTTAATAATTAAAGGAAAGCACAACTCTGATTTCTTCTGCCACCCATTCATGTTTGGCATTTAAATGAGCATACCTTGTCATATTAAATTATTGTACTTGCTCATCTTTATTATGTATTTGGTATTCATTCACTTGGTAAAATATTTAATAAGAAACTGCTCTCATTAAGTGGGGTCACAAAGATTTATTAGATTGTTTCTTCTTTCAAATGATTTAGACAGTTAATAGTTATAAGTATAGTTCTTATTATGAGAGAAGCAAATGCAGAATGCACTGAGAGCCCAGTCAGACCTCTGACTTCAGCCCGAGAGGCCAAGGATAGATTATGAGTATGTAGCCTGAAATTGATTTCTCTCCCTTGTCCTGATCAAGCTCTATACTGATTCTACCTTTGCAGTAGCTCTCAAAGTCCCCCTTACTACTCATTCCCATGCCAGTGCTTGAATTCTGGCCTTTAGTGTCATTTGCTTGATTGTAGCTTCTTACCTGGGTTGTCTACCTCCAGTCTCTTGCCCCATCTGTCCTTCCTAAATCCAGTGAGAGTAACTCTTGTGAAAAAACAGCTCTTGTTGGATTCCTTGAATGACTGCCCGTTACTTCTAGAGTGAATTCTGAATTTGAAGTGTGGCATCATGATCTTGTCCCAGTCTACATGTGTGCCCCTGTTTTTCATTATTCCCATTATTGTGTCCTTCTCAATTAAACCAAACTGCTCAATATTCCCTTAGCATGCTGTATGCTTTCCCACCTGTGTGCTTACATCATAGTTTACTAACTTCTAGAAAAACACTTCCCTACCACTATTCTTTGATTATCATTACTTTTAAGAACCTGATTTTATTTCCTTCATTTTTCCATCTCTTTACCATCATGAAATGTGCATGCAGATGTTGCTTGACAATTTTGTTGAATTAAATCAGAGAAGAGGTTGGTCCCTGGAAGGAACTATCTCTTTGGACTGTAACTTTTCTTATATTGGCCTGATTTATGAACTTGGTATTTTCGTTAGTCCTAGACTTTCTTTGAGCATGGCCTACTCCACTTTTTTTTTTGCACAACAATCCATGTAATAAACTCCTTCCTGATAGTTCTAGTAGAAATTATCTCTTAAGGATGCAGTAATGAAAAAAATGATCCATATTTTTTCTTTCTTTGGCTTCCATGTAGTTCAGTATTTCTAGTTCCCTATTTATTTGTTTTTCAATTTGATTATCCTTCTATCTCTATTGATTAAAAATAATCTATTTATGTTTTCCTATTGTTTTACAGGTATCTTTTTATTGTAATCCTTTAAAATCATTTATTGTAATCCTTTAAAATCATAAAATCTTCATAAAAATATGTGGACTCTAATGGATAACTGGTGCTTACAGAATTTAATGACTGTACTGAGTCACATGATTAGAACTTGCATGCTCAGTTGATGTTATATTCTAAATTACATTGTTTTTCAGAATTCAGAGCATTTTGATAGCATTTTATACATACTCTTTGTGAAATTTGTGGAACCTTTAAGAGGTACAGGCTTTTTGCCACATTGCGTGTCTTCTGACTTTAGGCTAGCCTTTTGGGGTCACCTTTAATCTCTTTAATCCCATCTTCCAACAGCTATTTGGGTATCAGCCATACCAATGCCTGCGGTTTAGGTTATGAAAAATGATCAAAGCTCTTCTTTCAAGCCTTTGAATGAAAGTAGCACATTGGAATATATTGTGCATCATTTTGATTTTATTTCACAAAATAAAACATTATCATCTCTAAGTTCTTAGGTGGCTAAGAATGAGTAGTTATGAGAAAGTTTAATAGTTCTGTTAATAACAGGTTGAGTGAAAGCTAAGTGAGTGTTAGTGGCTGATTTAGTGGTAATAACATGTTTCCCAGGCAGAGGACTGGCCACTGGTGTCAGGACAGTCTCATTTAGACAAGGTGCAAATATCAGATTCATAGACTGGGACAATCAGTGTCAAATACTTAATAAAGGGGAAAAAAGATTACTAGAATAATAAAATTGTATAGTTGTATTTCTCAAGTAGAAATTATTGCTTGCATTAAAATAGTTTCAGGATAACTGAAAAATGGGCTCTGATCTTAGAGTAGAAGATGTTTTCAAAGGAATATCATCTTTCAGTTCTTCCAGGAAAATGGAGACTCTAAGCATTTATTCAGGTCACTTGCCATATGTTCATCTGATCATAAGCTCTTTGGGCAGTGAACTGATATGACCTGGCTTACTGGCATCTCTTAGTCCTGCTGCGACTAGGCTGCAGACAGACTCTTTACACACCATTTGGCAATTAGATAGCCAGTGAGTATGGGAAACAGGCAACTTTTTGCTAAACTCTGTTAACATTCATATTAACGTATGTGTGTGTGTGCAACACTATTTTCTTTGGCATATGTTTACTCTTATAGATAGAATTTGTCTCTATTTATATCCTCAGTGTTTGAAAAATGATATAGTATTTATTTTTAAGTTGAATGTCTGATTTTTTTTTTTTAATGACTGTTTTTAGGTTAGGAATGTATCGTGAAGCAGAAAAACAGTTTAAATCCTCTCTGAAGCAGCAGGAAATGGTAGATACATTTCTCTATTTGGCAAAAGTAAGTAAATATTGAGTGAAATCTTTCTTTTCAAAATTCTGGCCATTGCATGGAAAGAGTTGCCAGTTCCTTCAGGAGTAGTTGGCAAGTTAATATGTTCAGATTTAACTTGTTTTTCTTTATAGCAAGGGAAAAATAACATATGGAGGGTAACTACCTCAAGAGAAACTGATTGCCATGAAAAATAAGATAACCCCCTTGGAATATTGCTCATTAGAATGGAAGAAAATATCATAAGCTCACCACCCGTGTGTAACAGGCCCCAGAGAGGGCTCTTTTCTATAACACATTTGTCTCATGCTTGAGCAGATTGTAGAGCATAGGGACTGCTTTTATGTAGGTGCTTAATTACTCAGCTCTACTGTAAAAATAAAAATCTTACTTCCCCTTTATTGAGCACCTACCTACTCAGTGCAAGTCAATGGATTAGATTCATTGTACATGCAATTTAATTTAATTCTTACAATAATCTTGCAAAATAGGTTTCATAATTTCCTTTGTACTCCTAAGGAAAAAGAGACTTCAAGAGGGTAAGTTTTTCAGAGTTGCTGGACTATTAACAGCCAGTATTCAAACACAGGTCTTTTGAACTCCAGAGGCTACCCACTACTACACTGTGCCCCTCATAGTCACAGCAGAAGTGAAGGACCACCTAGAATTTTCAATACAGATTGAGCATTCCTAATCTGAAAATCTGAAATCTGAAGTGCTTCAAAATCTGACACTTTTTGAATGCCACAAGCAGAAAACTGCATACCTATCATCCTGTGATGTATTGCAGTCAAAATCCAAGTACACTAAAAATACTGTGTAAAATTATCCTAAGGCTATGTGTACAGGGTATAGATGAAATATAATTAATTTCACATTTAGACTTGGGTTCTGTCTCGAAGACAGCTCATCACGTTATGCATATATTCTAAAATTTAAAAAAAAATCTGAAATCTGAAACACTTCTGGTCCCAAGCATTTCAAATTAAGGTATACTCACATTATACTAGGATATTGTTTCTTGACCTTCATCAAGGTTACTTTGAAAGAAAAACATTTGATTTAGTAGTGGTCATGACATCTTGCTTTATCTTTAAGAATTTTTCAAATTAAAAGTACAGTAAAGAGGATTCAAAAGCTACAAAAGGAAGCACTAGCTTTTTGTATGACATCTTAGTTAGCCTACAGTGGTTCGGATGCCACCCAAGGACTACAAGAAGAAAGTTGGCCAAGAAAAAGACCCAGTGAACTAATCTGAGGGTGAGGCCAAAAAGAAGTGGTCCAAAGGCAAAGTTTGGGACAAGCTCAATAACCTAGTCTTGTTTGATACAACTTCAGATTCTGTAAGAAAGTTCCCAGTTATAAGCTTGTAAGCCCCCAGCTGTGGTCTCTGAGAGACTGAATATTCATGGTTCCCTGGCCAGGAGCGCCTCAGTAAAAGGACTCATCCAACTGGTCTCAAAGCGCAGAGCCCGAGTTAATTTATGCCAGAAATACCAAGGTGGAGTTCTCCAGCTGGTGAAGACGCTTGAAAAAGGGCAACCAACTGCCAACTGTGTATTTGAAAAATAAAATTTATTAAACCAAGAAGTAAAAGGGAGTGCTACTGGTTCCTAAATATGATAATAAAAGCACACTAAAGAGAAAATGAAAGTTCCACTATATGAATTTGCTGTTCTGATTTTAGTATGTTTACAATGGTTTTCAAAAATGTTTGGAGCTCTTTGGTATCTAAATTTATCTTCTATATCTTATATATTAAATTCTTAACTTTCTAAGCATCATAGTAAACTTTTCTGGAGGAGAGCTTGAAATTAAGGCTCAGATTATACTATTTGACTGTCATCTTCTTAACTTCTTAACTGACAATTGTTGGCCACATAATTGAAAAAAACTTTTTAAAATTATAGTTAAGTACATGGTTTTATTTATTTTTTTACATGTTTATTTAAGTTCATTATTGTCTGTATGACTATCAAGGAGTAAACCTGTTTTTTTTCACTATATGAAAAAATGCTTGCTATACAATAGAAGTCAACCAGATTTTAGGAACAACATTGTTTTTTAAAAGTTTTTGTCAGTTAAAGCTGGGTATGGTGGCATTTGCCTGTAATCCCAGTTATTTGGGAGATTAAGGTGGGAGGATTACAAATTTGAGGCTAGCCTGGGCAATTTAGCAAAACCCTGCCTCAAAATAGATCTCATCAAATATTTTATATTAGTATATTAATTGTATTGCTTATCATATTTTAAAAATCCATTCAGAAGTTTATAAGATAAAAATTTTACAGTTTTCATTCATATCCATCCCTCTACTCATGCTTTAGTAATAAACATTATGAATAGTTTTAGGCCTTGTTCAAAGCACAGCCTAACCATTCAGAAAAACTGGATATAAAATCATGAAGACAAGTATTAAAATATTATGTTTCTATACATAAAAAACATAATTTTCTATTTTAGAAATTCCTATTAAGTCTAATTGCTAATAAGTGGACACCCTCAAGTGCTAACTTACTCAACCCCCTCACCCCATGCCTCACAAACCTGTCTCCTTCTACTTTGGAAGGGTCTTCTCAAAAACCACCCTCTCTACTGTTGACTCCTCAGGCCTTGCTTCATGGGTCATCCGCTCCTTCTCTCGCATCTTTAACTTCAGCCTCCTAATTAGTTCCTAATGCCAGCTTATGACCATGCCCGTGTCTGTTCTATTAGAAGGATCTCCCCTGGATCCTTTCCTGTCTAGTTACTGCTCAGTCCCTGTGACAACAGTAAGCCTATAATTAGTATTTGGTGGAGAAATGAATGAATGAATGTTTTATGTACAACATGTGGAGATAAAGCTGTCATTATTGGAAATTCTACATATTTATGAAAATTTTTTTACTTAATATCTAGAAAATAAGTTGTCACTAATGAATAATTATAAACTTGCTATACAAATACTCTTATTTTAAGAGCTGATTCTTTTATTGAAATGTATCTGGATTTTAGGTTTACATCTCATTGGATCAACCTGTGACTGCTTTAAATCTTTTCAAACAAGGCTTAGATAAGTTTCCAGGAGAAGTAAGCCTGCTTTGTGGAATTGCCAGGATCTATGAGGTAAGGTTCGTAGTATTTTAAAGGTTGATATAAAATTGAGGTTATGTACTAACTAAATAGGGGTTAAGAAGAACAGTTTATAAAATTTTGATTGTTGGCCTGTGATTCACTGGTAGAATAAGAGATTTTAGTGTATGCATTTAGTCAAGCTGTTTTTATTATGAGGCATTTCAGATTCACAGAAGAGTATAGAGAATGGTACATGATACTGATTTAAATTATTTTCCTTGTGGACCTGTTGCCACACCTCATTTATCAATCTTTCCCCAAAATCTGTAACCTCAAATATAATGTTTTCCCATTTATGATGGGGTACATTGGGTCTTTCTACTCTTTTCCTTTAGCCTGTTTGTCCATCTTTGTACCAATATGATATCAGCTTAATTTTTATATCTGTATGATACTGACCATCTGGTAGGGTTCATCTTTATCAGAAGTGTCTTTGTACTTTTCCTTATTGTTATAAATTTTAAAGTCATTTGTCTTATTCTATGGTAAGTTTCACTTAGTTATCTTCCCTGCTACCTAATTATTACAGCTTTATCCTAATTCTTGAAATCAGATTGGTAAATTCTACCACCTTGTTTTTCTTCTTCACAGTTGGTTATTTTTGACTCTTTGCTAGACAATACTGGTTTTAAGGTTGACTTACAAGAACAATAAAAATACCTTATAGGCTTGTTGACTAGAATTACTTTGAATATGTGGAGGCCGAGCAGATGCATTGCCTTTCTTCCTTTCTCAAGCATTGGTATTTTTTTTTCAGGAAGTTTTTGTAATTATCCCTTGAAAGAGGCTGTTGCGGGGGTCCCCCAAACCACACTGAGATTCAATGATTTACTAGGGTTCCCAGGACTCAGCAAACAATTATATTCACAGCTATGATTTACTAGAACAAAAGAATACAAAAGCAAAATCAGTAAAAGGGAAAATTGATGGGGCAAAGTTCAGAGGATGACTGGTTACCAGCTTCTAAGAGTCTCCCAGTGGAGTCACACAGGTCACACCTCTTCTAGTAAGCTGTGATAACTCGAGAAGTGTTGTATGGCAGGGAAGCACACAAGAGACTCAGTATACGATGTCACTGTTGGGTGCTGATCTTTTAGACACTTCTGCCTACCAAGTACCAGAGTTCCAGACTCCCACAAGTAAACAGGTATTCAGCAAAAACCACACTGCTTATACAAGAGTTTAGGTGTAGCAAACTGCTCATGTTATTTGGAGAAAGTTTATACTGATGTAGGGAACCAAGTGAGTTCCCAGGCATGAGCCTTTCCAAGAATAGCAGAGCAGATTCAGGGCTTTTCTGTACAGGTGTATTCCCAGGTATAACTGTGAATGGAGTCCCTATTTTTTTCTCTTATAGTTTCTATTTGATTATTTCTGGTGAGTAGGAATGTAAAAGTTGATTTGATTCTACTATTTAAATTTTATGACCTTGTCCATAGATTCTCTTTGATATTCTAAGTAAATAAACTAATCATTGTGTGCAAATATAGTTTTGTTTCTTCAGTTATTCTTATTGCTTTTAAAAATATATCATTATGCTTAGAACTTCCAGTACAATACTGAACAGATGCACCTCAGTTCTCTTTACATTTCTTGAAAATGCTAGGTATGAGATTTTAAAATTTTGCTGAAAAAGAGTTGTAGGTTGTAATAGTTGGTATATCTGGGTCATAGTGTAGGATTGACATTTATTTCTTTTTTATACTTTCCAAATTTTCCATGATTGTGTATTTTACTTTTTAAATGAAAAATATTGTTTTTAATTACCTATAAAATGTATTTTCCTTTTGAAGTATAATTTTGATAGATATAATTTTGATAGATACATAGAAGATTTGGATCAATCAATATAAATACTTGTATCAATATTTTTGTTTACTTATTGTGACCCTAAATTGAATATGAACAAAGCTTTGGCCAAGAAGCTTAGAAAAGATATAAAATGGAATCAGTTTTCGAAATCAGTGAAATTCATGCTGCTTTCATTGGTGATTTCCCGATGCCATTGGCACCCTTGGACCTTTTGGCTTTGCCTTTTGTACTTCTCAGTCCTTTTTCACACCTTGCTTTTTAGAAAGTGAGTGCTAGCAGAAAGGGCTTCAGGACAATTGCATCTTTAACATGTGGTTGCTGTTCAGAAGAATTTCTCCCAAGCCTGACATAGTGACTGTTGCTATGGCTGGGATAGGGAGTGGCTCTGGGGCAGTCTTTATCAGCTGCCTCTTTCTTTTGCTGTTCTGAGTTGAGTTTAAACTTCAGGAAAAAGGAATTAGAAAGGGAAGCATCCTAACTGCAGGGACAATATGTTGTCCTGTAGGTAGGGTGATCAAGGGCTAAGCACAGATGTGAAATAGTTGGGTGCAGTATTTTCCCTTGGATGTGCACAATTCATTTCCTTTCTGCTGAAGCTGACTACACCAAAGGCAGATTTCCAGCAGATTGTTTTCTCTTACATGAGGATGGATTTAGAGTTAATTAGTGGAGTTTGTTCCGTAGTCTTGTGACCTACACTGCATGTGCCTTTAGGGACTTTTATTATGTGCATCTTGCTATTCTCTGGAGGGAATTCTCTTCCGTTATGTTCACTTCTTTTTTATTTACCACTTTCATGTTGGTATTATATCTTTTAAATGTTGCCTGTTTTAAAATGAACATGTTGTACTGCCTTCGGTTCACTGCTTGTTTTGTACAGATACTGTTAAAAATTGATTTCTCTTTGCTAAATTGTTTTTTGGTGGTTTTAATTTTTCTTGAGGCATTTTGTTTGAGAGACTAGCCCTTATTTTAGTTGTTCTTTATTGAAAGGGGTTTGAGATTAGAAACCTAATTCTTAAAAGGTTATTCTGGTGGCTTTCTGAACTTCACTGTGGTGAAAATTACCCTGGGAATGTGTAAGAAGTACAACCCATCCTCTTCCTACTAATCAGAAGTCCTGGAAAGTGAGACTCAGGTGTTTGTTTGTATTTTTAACAGGCTCATTAGGGGGATTCTGAGGCATAACAGAGTTTGAGAAGCAGAGCAACACTTATTTCCTTATTTGCAGTTTCACTTTAAATAATTAAGACCTAAGTATAGATAGATAGTGTTTTGTGAATTGGTTCAAAAATAACTGCTAGAAAACCACTGAGATTGTATTAAGTTTCTCATTTACTTGAAGTAACATTTACATACTTAAAAATGTTATTTTTAAATCTACATTAATGAAATCTAGTGTAATTTAAACAATTCTGATACAGGAATAAGTTAATGGACAAAAATAGTCTGTATTTATTCATACATGTGAAAATTAAAGATGTGATAAATATTGCCTATGAAGCCAGGTGGATTATTGGATTATTAAATAGTTTAAAATTACAGTGGATGAGTAATGATTTCTTTTACTAAAAAAATCCATTACTACTTCTAGGTGCTGTGGTGTGTGGGTGTAATCCCAGCAATTTGGGAGGCTGATGCAAGAAATCTTAAGCTCCTGCCCATCCTGGGCAACTTAGTGAGTTAAAAAATTTTAAATAAATTTGAAAAAGGATTAGGAATGTAATTCAGTGATAGGGTACTCCTGGATTCAATCCCCAGTACCAACCAACCAACAAACAAACAACAACAACAACAAAACGAAACAAAACAAACAACAGAAAGAAAAAGTTAAAATTTCAAAAAGTGAAACTGTGAAAGTTCCAAAAGAAAAAACAGATGCATTATTTGTATAAGTTGGAATGAGGGAGTTTTTTTAAACATGACAATCAGAAAGACTTAATAGGAGAGACTGATAAGTTTGAGAAAATAAAAGTTAAGTTTACTAAATAGCAAAAACAAAAATTTAAATAAAGCCAAACTTTGGTTTTATTTTACCTTTTTACAAATCTCACACGCATATAAACAAATGTCCATACACATGCCCTCATATATGCTTATTTAATCAAGAATGTAAACACTATGGAAAGTAGATGCTTCCTCAGAGAAGTTTTGGATCAATATATCTTGTGGCTTTTCCATAGGCTTTTGTTTTCTTGTCAGCCTTCCTAGAGATAAGAAATCACCTCCCAGAGATGAGACAACAGCCAAGCTCCAGCTCCCCCAATGTACCCTGCACACCCCCACCCCTGTGGTGCTGGGGATCAAACTCAGGACTTCACACATGCTAGGCAAGTACAGTACCACTAAACTATGCCCCCAGCCCTTCTAGCTGCATTTTGACCACACCGATAGCTTTTTATACTTACAGCTTGATGATATCCATCTGGAGGAACTTAATTGATCCATGTATGATCCATGTGTGTTTATGAAGACAGGGCTTTTCTGGTTTTTGAACTAAAGACAATATCAGCACGGGTTCGTGTCACCTGGAATGAGAAAGCAAAGTTGGTGCCCAGGGATCCTTGAGCCATATGTCTGCCTCCAGATCCAGGCAGTTTCTTACTCAACCCCCTCATGTACTACTGTAGGTTTGAATGTGTCCCCCCAAAGTTTATTTGTTAGAAACAATCCCATGCAACAGTGGAGAGGTGGGGCTTTTAAGAGGTGACTAGGCAAAGAGGGATGTCCTCAAGAATGGATTAATTGCTATTATTGTAAGTGGGTTCCTGATAAAAGAATGAGTTTGGCCTTTGTCTGACTGCCTGGTCCCCACCACTCCGTGCTGCCCCATGTGATGCCTTCTGCCATGTTATAATGCAGCAAGAAAGCCCTCACCAGATGTGGAGCCTTGATTTGGGACTTCTCAGCTTGCAGAATCAAGAGCCAAATAAATTTCTGTTCATTAAAATTACCAGTCAGTGGTATTCTGTTATATCTGCATAAAATGCCACTGATAAAAAGATAAAAGATAGGATAGCATAGAAAACGGGCAAAGGAAGTAAATTGGAAACTCATAGAAAAAGAAATATCTGATGTGTTCAATTTCTAACCTCTGTCGTAATTAAAGAAATAAAGACTAAAACAACAGTGATATGCTGTATTTCGCTTAATTGGGTTGGCAGAGATGAGGAACTTCTGTGGTATCAAGGGTGTGGAGAACAGGCTCTACACATGAGCATTGCTGGTGGGAGTGTACTTTGATACAGCCCATTAGGAGGCTGTTTGCAATTGCCATGACACTTTAAAATGTGCATGGGCAATTTTACTTCCAGGAATTTTGTTTAAGAGTCTTTTCATACAGGCACACAAAGATATATACAAATGATTTTATAGAATATTAATTGCGTAAACTAATTTTTGTCCATCAGTCAAGTATGTAAGTATTCTAAAGGGAAATGGAAATAAACTAAGGTTCATCAAAAGGGGACTGGTTAAATAAATTATGGTGTATGTATTGATGGAGTACTGTACAGAATATCTACTTCATATAAAATGTAATAAAGTGAATTTCTATGTTTTGATATAGAAAGAGTGCCACGACACTAATTTAAACTGTGTATTGGAATCTACAGAATGATTTTGTATGTGTCTTTATATGAACAAAATTTCTTGAAGGATACTCAAGAAACGATTAACAGCTTCTGTCAACTAGTATTTGGACTTCTTTTAATTTTGTACCCTTTTGTAGTGTTTAAATTTATTTAGCATAGGCAAATTATTTTATGTTTATAAAACTTAATTGAAAAACTACATGTGAAGTTGCTAATTTCAAATCTAAAATTCCTTGAAATTACATAAATTAATTTCTGTGCCCATCAGTCCTCCAAATTGAGAACCAACTGAGGGATAGCCACGAGATTTAAACAAATAGAAGACAAACCATTAACTTCATTGAGAGTGAAAAATTATTTCTTTATATAAAGGCACACATACAGTTTATACAGGTTTTAGCCATAAACAGAATCATTTGATACATTCTAATATGCAGCTTGTTTTTTCACTCTTGGTGTTAACTTTATTCATTGACTTTATTATTGATAAAAACAGAATTGGCAGAGTGGCATTAGATCTCTGACCAAAGGACTTAATAGTCTCTCTCAGCTGGACAAATCTATCATGTATGGAGACGTGATTGGACAACCTACAAACCTTCTCCATTCAGGAGAGTCCATTATTTTTGTAAGAATATTAATAGTTTTATTACATATTATATGGAATGAATTAATAAATATTTTCAAATATAACCTTCATAAACAAAACTTTGGGATTCTTAGCAACTTTTAAGACTTTGAAGGGATCTTAAGATCAAAAAGTTTGAGAACCTCTGTTATTGTGGAAACGTGAGAAATTCAGACAATTTTAGAAGTTGTTTAATTATGATTTACTAATTTTCCAGTATCTAGAAGCACTAAATTTAGCACTAAGGAAAGGTACACCACGTGGTCTTGGTTGCAAAGAAATTATCAAATTTTATAGATTCTAAAAAACGTATGTTTTCTACATTTTGACATTTCTGAGATTGGGGTGCCTCTTAGAGTAGGTAGCATCTTCTAATGGTTTGTGGCCAAGTGGCAGTTGTCATGTAGTTGTCACAGTCTGCTTATATGGAAACTTGGTAGTTATTCTTGGCAGCATCGTGCTTTAGATAGTGAACGTGGTAATTGGTGAACGTGGTAATTGTTTCTACTTGTTGCTTGAAAGCTCTTGTTGACACCTGCTGGTAAGATCAAGAAAGCACAGGCATCAGCACAGCAAAATGAGGGTCCATAGCCTGGAAGAAAATCTTGGGAACATAGTGGAGCACACTTTTAAGAAATGTTGCGAGTAGCTTGTAAATGTTCTCTGCCCAAAGAAATGAGGAGTATATGAGATGATGCATATATGTTAATTAGCCTGATTTGTACATTCCATAATGTATACACGTATCAAAGGATCACATTGTACCCCATATAAACACACAATTATTAATCATCAGTAAAAATAAAATTTAAAAAAGAAAGAAAAGCTGTATTGCCAATGTGAGACACTGTGTGGAAAATCCTGGGCCTGGATGACCAGATCAGAAAGGGAGTCAGAAGACTGACTCTGAACATGAGGAAATACTATGTCCAACTTACTTTGCATATCTACTTCATATAAAGAAGGCAAAAGAATGATATGGGGATACAGTTTACATCTGAGTATCAAATAAAATGTCAAAATGGGTATCAAATAAAAATTCTTATGTTTAAAGAAGCATTGTATAGTGCTGCTTAGAATTGGTGGAGTCACTTAGATTTAATAAAATATGATTAAATTCTCACAAAAAAATTGAATCCTAATAAGAATTTAAGTGCATAAGTCATGATAAATGTCATGTAAGTTGAGAGGCAGAAGAGAGCCCTGTGCAGTGAGGGCACAGCGTAATGAATCTTAATGAAGGGTGTGGAACCTGAACTAGACCTTGAGAGTGGATTTGAGATATGTAGCATTCATTGATAATGCTAGATTAGCTCAGCCCAGCCTGGGCCCCATCTCACAAATGATGATGATGATGATGATGATTCTAATAATAATAATAAATGCATTTATGATTATCAGTATTTAGAAAGCATATATAAAAACTGTAGAAGGTGGCTTCAGCTTTAATTGTGTATGTATTTCTGAACTTCGGGTTGCCATTGTTTCTTTCCTGAATTCTTGGTCTCTTTACTGCTGCTCTTCCCTATTTGGGTTTGTCCTGTGCTTACCAAGCGAATTATTCTTTAAAATGTGAATACAGTATGATTATGTCACTCCTCTGCTTTTAATTCTCTAATAACTTTCTCTCAATTTAGAAGGAAAAACATCTGAAGCTCCTCCCATGCCTGACAAAGGCCCTGACAGCCTCTTCAGTCTCCTGTGCTACTCTCCCTCTTTCCAGCCTCACTACATTTGTGTGGTTTTTCTAAGTGCTTCCCTCTCTGCAGCATATATTTGCTAGTTTCTCTGCCTGAGTGAGCTTCGCCCAGGTGTGCTCAGGTCCGAACCCTCACTTCGTTAGGTCTCTGTTCAAATAGCCCCTCCTTCAAGATGATCACCCTTCTGAAGCGCGACCCTCCCTCCTTCCCTCCCTCCCTTCCTCCCTCAGTCCTGCCCTGTTTTGTTTTTCCTCATATCATTCATCCTCACCTGACATTATATATCCATTTGTTTGTCTTCTCCACCAGCTGTAAACTCCTTAAGGACAGTGACTTCATCTGTTTTTTTTATATTTTATTTTTTAGTTGTAGCTTGAAACAATACCTTTATTTATTTATTTATTTATTTATTTATGTATGTATGTTTATGTGGTGCTGAGGATTGAATCCAGGACCTCTCACATGCTAGGCGAGCACTCTACTACTGAGCCACAACCTCAGCCCGACTTGATCTTTTTATTCCTGTCATGTCCCTAGGGCCTAGAATAGAGTCTAGCACATGACACACTCTCAGTAAACGTTTGCCGAATGAATAAACTTAAATTGGTGAGACAAAAAATTTCTTGTCCAATATTAATACATTATTGCTCTTCTGTCTTGAGCAGGAAATGAACAATGGTTCATCAGCAGCTGAATACTACAAAGAGGTTTTAAAACAAGATAATACTCACATGGAAGCCATTGCATGCATTGGAAGCAACCACTTTTATTCTGATCAACCAGAAATAGCTCTTCGGTTTTACAGGTATGCTTTACATTCAATCTGTAGAACTACTTTCATGAAATATTGGCAAAACAGTAATGAAGATAAATGAACTATAATGTGTATATGAATCTAAAAATTCCATTACTCAGATGCTTTATGAGCATTAAAGGGACAATTGATAATTTGAAAATGCTCAGATGTTGGCACTTTGAAGAAACGTACCCAGATGATTGTGTTTTTGACTCTCTGTATAAGTTAGCCATTTCATCAACAAACAATAGCATTTAAGTTACTTAAAATGCTTCTCATCATCACTGCATCCGTGAATACCACTGAATCACAAAGATACGGAGAGTTAAACAGTGAAGAAATTTGCAAGGAACAGTGGATTCCGTGTTCTGAACCTTGATGAGGACCTGAAACAGAATCATCTGCTTGTGAAATGTTATCAATTTGTTTTTCAAGTATTTTTTTTTTCAAAGTCTAAGTAAAATATGCTACTGGTTCTCTTTTGAGTTAATACTTATTTTATCCTACATGTGACATCTAAAATTCTTTTGTGTATGTGTGCCAGGGATTGAACTCAGGGGCACTTAACCACTGAGCCACACCCCCAGTCCATTTTTATATTTTTTATTTAGAGACAGAGTCTTGATGAGTTGCTTAGGGCCTCACTAAGTTGCTGAGGCTGGCTTTGAATTCATGATTTCCTCCTGCCTCAGTCTCCCGAGCCACTGGGATTATGGGCATGTGCCACTGTGCACAGCCTACAATTCATTTTTAAATTATGACTTTAGCCCTTGGGTAATATGAAGGAGAGATGACTGGCAGCTGCCAAAGATTCTTTCCAAATACATGTTGAGAACATAAAATATACGCATGCTGCACGGTGCATGTGCAGCTCACCCTACTCCCTACCCTCAAAATGGGTCATGGGTTTCTCAGGGCAGCTGGACTGGATGTTCATTTGCTTCTTTGAATTTTCTTGTCCTTTCTCACTTAGGATTTTTAATGCCTAGAGTCAAAATGGGGTTCTTGAATTGCGGTGGAAAAGCTAAGTGGATAATGTAGTGGTCTGTTGATGGTCATGGCTTCCTCAGTGGAAGTCAGTGAGCCCAGTTTAACCATGAAATACAGATGGCCAAAAATAGGATGCAACACTGAAAACTTAGAGGTAAAATATAGTCTCCAAATTAGATTAGAAGGTCTTGTGAATGCTGGTGGGCAACAAGGCTCTATAAAGCTGTGTGGGTTTTACTTTATGTGGCTATTTATTTCTTATTTTTGTTCTCTAACAAAGCTTTTGGGGAAAAATATATAGAGAGAAGTAGTTTTAACTATTATGAAAGCTATGCTTTTATATTTGTTTTAAACATTATTTTTCACTTACAATAATACCTTTCATTTCTAATCTTTGCGGGGGTATTACTAGTTATAAGGTTAATTCATTTCTAACTTTGTAAAAGAAGTCTTAGCATTGATAAATTTGGTGTGACACAACTTTTCTTTGTACTGTTTGAAAAGGCGACTCCTGCAGATGGGCGTTTACAATTGCCAGCTTTTTAACAATCTGGGGCTGTGCTGCTTCTATGCCCAGCAGTATGATATGACTCTGACCTCATTTGAACGTGCCCTTTCTTTGGCTGAAAATGAAGAAGAGACAGCTGACGTCTGGTACAACTTGGGACATATAGCTGTGGTAGGTTGTCTTTTGATACAATTTCTGTAATAAAAAGTGTAGGCATGAATTAGTTTGAAGAAATTTTCAGGTGTTTATTATAAATCTAAGTGTGATGATGGTCTCATGTAGAATCTGAGAGATTTCTGGGAGTCACTGTAGCTCATTTTCTACTTACACAGAATTCACATATGACCCCTATGATCAGTGTGTGTTGCTTTTTCTGTGTCTTGGGGAAGATTTATAGAGGAAGGAAGGGAGAAGGTGGCAAGAGGAAGCATGTGTACTCAGACTTGTGAACGTGTGCTTCTCTTTCCAGGGAATAGGTGATACGAATTTGGCCCATCAGTGCTTCAGGCTGGCTCTGGTCAACAACAACAACCATGCTGAGGCCTACAACAACCTGGCTGTGCTGGAGATGCGGAAGGGCCATGTTGAACAGGTCAGGGAGAGGCAGTCAGTCTGCTTTCTTCACAGAACAGCCATCATTTGTAACTATTGTTATGTAATTTTAAAATGAATTCTAGAGTCTGGTAGGCCTGGATTTGAATTTCAGCTCTCTCATGTATTAGCTGTGTGACCCTGGGCAAGTTACTTCCTTTCTGAGTCCAAAATAGAACATTTCATTTTATTAGGACAACATGTCCCTTCATGGTATTCCCTGTGTTAGTGAACTGTTCCACAATTCACCACCCTGACCCACCATCTAGCTGTTCCTGCCCGAATCCTGGGAGCCAACCTTGACACCTCTTTTCTTCCTTGTGCCCCCTCACACCCACATCATATTCAGCAGGTCCTGTCAGTCCTGCCTAAAAGTCCCATCCTGAACCTGGCTTCTGTTCCCCACCCTACTACCATCTCTTGCCAGGACAACTACAAGAGCCTCCTGGCTGGTCTTTTCCCCCACTTACATCAGCAAGTAAATGTACCCTATGATTCATCCTCGTCAGAACAGCCCACATGATTTTTTATTAAACAATATTATTTTATTACTACTTTTTTTGCATAAGATTCTCCAGTTATTTCTCCTGAATTTGGAAAAAAAAATCTGGCTTGCTAATCTGAACCTGTGAGACTCCACATAAACTGGCCTCTGCCTTCTCTCAGACCATGTCCTTGGCCTCTCCTTTTCCACTAACTTCCAGGCATGTTGGCTGCCTCGATGTTCTGCAGATTTGCAATGCTCTGTCTTCTTTTAGGGCCTCTGGAATGTTCTTCCCTTAGGTCTTACAGTGACATTTCTTTTTGTCACTCAGGTCTTAAATGCCACCTCCTTAGAAAGACCATCTCAAACACCATCGAAAGGAACCCTCGGGGGCTAGAATATTTCCTACTTTTCATTTTTTACTTCACAGTGCTTCTCATTGCACCAGATACTGTCCTACTTTACATGTAGAATGTAGACGGTCAGCTGCATGAAAGAGGAACCCTATCTGACGAGTCACTGGTGTGTTCTCAGCATTAGGAAATGCCCAGCACCTGTCGTGTGCTTAGTCAGTGTTTGTGAAACAAATGGATGATCTTTAAAAGTAGAGTAATAATAATGCCTACCCAAAGGTGTTTCTGTGATGATTAAATCATGCATGTAAAGCACTTGGCACAGTGGTGGGTGGATTTGAGCACGTGATCTGTGCTTAATCAGTTGAACTATTATTTACATATATAAAAAAGTTTACAATGCAAAATATACTCCTACAATATTCATGGTTATTAAGGGTAAATCTTACTCTGCCACTTTAGAGAGGAGGACATAGAGATTTGAGTGTAAGTAACTTTACTCAGGTCACAGCCATGATGAGCTGTAAACATGGGACACAAACCTGCTCTTCGGAGCACAATGACAAAAATACCAAGGACTGAAGCATTATTTCATAAATGCTCCCAAAATAAACAAGTTGGATTTGTATTTTATAAGCATTATTCTCAAGTGGTACGCTTTCTATTGGAACTTGGCCCATGTTCATGTTAGGCAAGTACTTCCTGTGATTGTCTCTGCCCCCATCTTGGTCATTGTCTTTCCCTCCTACTTACTGTAGTTTCTCAAGGATACAATTAATTTGAAATGTTCTGGTAAAAGATTTTATACTAACCCCACTTCATTATTTAGAGAATTACTATCCAGCACCCTATGTGAACTGATATCCTCTTATTTTCCATTTAAAAAAATACATGAATTTGTTGGCAGATCATGGATATGGGTTTTGGATTTAGCTACAAGTTGGAGTGTCACTGAGCGGGTTATAGTCTTAACGATGCATGTATGAGCATCATGTGCCACTCCGTGCTCTCTGCAATATGTGATTCTGTAAGGGACAAAAAATGTGAATCTTGTGTTTTGCATACTTTAGAGAACAGAAAGCTTATCATTTTTCATTGCTAGAAAACTTGTTAGCAGCACCATAAAGGCTCACTCACTGTCATCCAGCACAAGGCTGTGGGCTTTGAAATTCATTATGATTCTTGGTCTTTTTGTTGTTGTTATTGCCTTAGGGTACAGATACTTGGAGCCTGTTAAATCAGTTACCACCAACAAAACCTGGATTGAGAAGACTTTTTAAAGCCTTGAGATTACATTTTAAGTTGTATGTCAAACTGAAATGGAAATGGTATGAGACAGTGGTTCTCAAATAGGTTTAAATCTGCTCTAAATTTTCAGTTCTCTTATTTTCTCTCTTAAAATGTTTACTGTTAACATAATTTTGGTGTGACATCAGTAGTTAATTATATTTCAATATAAGTCTCTGTATTTCATGAGGAATGACATCTGTGTTTCTCCAGCACCGTGTTTATTAAGGTCCTATCCCAGTAAAGGCTTCTTTTACCAATAGAAATCACAGATACAGAACTGCTGTATGCTTATATGCCTTTTTTTCTTTCTTTTTTTCCACAGGCAAGGGCACTTTTGCAAACTGCGTCAACTTTAGCACCTCATATGTATGAACCCCATTTTAATTTTGCAACAATATCTGATAAGGTAGTCTCTTTATTAATTTATTATATTATACAATATTTCTTGTCTTTAGGTTTAAAAAAATTACAATAAACAAGAAAATTATAACCTTATGTTCCTGAACAGAAGGTTGATTTTTCAGTTTGGAAGAAATGAATTTTTTAAGTTCTTATTTATATACACAAACATCTTCACTTAATAAGCTTTAATTTTTCTTTGGATATTGACTAAACACCATTATAAATTGCTTTTTAAAGCATTGCTTTTTAAAGCATAAAATCTTTTATGCTTTAAAATTTAATATTTAATCATTGAAGAAATACCATAATAATTCTTAGTTTGGGAGGTATTTGTAGAAGGCTTTTACAGCAAGGAATTCCTTTTTATTATTTGTAAATCATATTGCCACCAAGTCCTGATATGATTGCTATAAAATTAGGAATATTAGTGAAATTAGAGATATTAATTATGGACAATATGGGGAATGCAGCTGTGTTGCAGTGAATTCCAAAAGCTAAAAGAAATTATGCACCATTTTTAATAAAATGAAAACCAACAAAAGGCATATCTTACCTATTACTTGAAAACTCTCCTTTAACATGGAAGATAAATCAGTCTTGAGAATGAGGAAATGGATAAAAATGTTTGTGATGTAAATAAAAGTCTTTATTGACCAAAGATGTAAAAATATGTTGTTTTTTTAATAATATAAATATGAAGCCATGCACACTCATTTCTGTTTTGAAAATAGAATAAGCTATTGTTGATGTGTTGAAATGTTTTGAGTGATTGATAAGTTTACCAGCCACTGTTCAAGGTGCTTTACATACAATTCTCAAATTCTCCCATCCCCTATGTGCAGTATCCTTACTTACTCATTTTCTCATGCAATTGATGTTTCACTTATTAAAGCCTCTGTTATGTATCAGGCCCTGTCATTGAAGTAGAGGATGTAGCAAGTAAATTTATCCTATGAAGCTTATGTTCTAATGCAGCCCAAGCCTCATGGAGGTTAAGAGCCTCCTACCCCCAGTCACATGAGGTGGCAGGTTTCAGATTCACACCCAGCTCCAGTGGTGCCCAGGTATTTCACTGCACTGTGCTGCTGCTTAATTAAGCCACAGAGAACACTTGATTATTCGCTTTCGGGAATATCAGCGCATTATAATAATTCACATCTCAAGGTGTTTCTTTAAACAGAAGACCATATTTCTGTAAGAGAAAATGGTATATTAGAAAGAAATGTTATGATTTTTAAAAGGAAACAATTCCTTTTTAATACATATATATGTTACCCCCAAAACTTCCAGAGTTGAACTATCTAGATTTTTCATGTGCATATATCCAAAAGTTGTCTTTTTAGAGGTGAATACATGAATCACGATACATTGAGACAAATTCCAGTAGCATATTTTTGTGTTTTTCTTTGGGCTGGACTTTAACAGACTTTATTGAAACTGAACTTTTTTCTTTTTTGTAAACTTTTAAAACCATACATCTTGCCAATATTATTGTTAGCACTATTTAAAACCTCTCAGAGGCATATTATTAAGTCTTAAATATAATAATTTTTACTTGAATTTCCTATTTAAAAGATAATACCCTAATGAAAATATGTATTTGTGGTACATTATAGTTTTCCTTAGCTGTATAAAACTGTTTGTTTGGGCATACGAATGTCATTTTATGTTTATAGTACTATCAATGACAGGGAAAGGAACAAGGGTTTCTGAATTCATAACTAGATAGCTGTAATGGAGCATAAATTATTTATATAATTGGTTATTTTATCTTTCTCAAATTCCTCAAAATGGAATTATAATCCAGGTGAGAGAGTTCTAAACTTTAAGTGGCATATGTGAGTAATTTGCTATTAAGGACCCTTTGAGTTTCTACAGCATGCAGACAGGATGTCTTTTTTTTTTTTTTCCCTTCCATATTTATTTATTTTATTTTTCTGGTCTCATACTGCTCTTCTTATGGCATTTTTTTACAGATTGGAGATCTACAGAGAAGTTATATTGCTGCTCAGAAGTCTGAAGCAGCATTTCCTGATCATGTGGATACACAACATTTAATTAAACAATTAAAGCAGCATTTTGCTATGCTCTGATTGTTCTTAGCCCAAATATATTTTTATGAAGAGACATTACACACGGGGAAAAAGTACTATGTATGTATGTATCTGTAATATAATATAAATTATACAGGCCTAGTGAAGGCTGTATTTGAAATAAGAGTCGCAGACTTTGACCAGAGTTTATTCCAGAATGTATAATGAATACTTTATAATAATAATTTTGTAAGGTAATATTATAAATTATCAGATTTAAGCATTTCTAGTTATAATGCATTATATGGTAAATGATTATATATTTCCAAACAATTTGATGCATTTCCTCAAATTTTTATAAATATACATTTTTAAAGTCCTTAAGGATTAGCCATTGTATGGCTTAAGTGGTCTGAAATCTGCCTTTAAAACTATACTTTTATGGTTAATAAGATGTGTATTTAGCCTAAGTAGAGACTTTATTTGGAGCTTAAAATTGTATTTCAAACTATTTTTTATCAGGTACTTTGTGATATGTATTGTACATATATATTATGCTTTAAAATAAATCAGTATATAAAACACCAAAATTTTGTCATTTTCCATGAGTTTTCATTTTATTCATCTCAGATGAAACAAATTTTTCAAAAGTTCAGATAATCTTATATAGAAAGTCAGTATTTAAAGTCTTATTTAAATGATGTGCCACTAATTTTGTTTTTTCCTAAAAGGCTATATATATATGGGATACCATATTAAGATAAGACTATCAGGATTAGAAATAAGAGTCATAATACTAGGAGTCCCACCTGTATTCAATCCCAGGAAAGGCTATATCCCACTACCACAGTATTATGAAGTTCTAGGAAAGTGCTGGAACTTTTCTCAGCCTTATTTAGTGGAAATCTCATTAAAGTGTTCACATGAGGAAATGTGTTAAATCACTTATATTTGCAGTATGTTCAGATTTGTGTAAATAGTACTCCTTAGCTGACAGAAGCAATAACAAATAAATTGAATACAAGGACCTGCAGATGGATAAAAGACCAGAAAGGGCTTCAGGGAATGTGAGCAAAGTCCCTAGTAGAACACATAAAGGCAGGGGGGACCTGAGCGAGTCACACAGCTGGTTGGTGGCACAGTTACAACCAGAACCAACAACTTGTTTCTCTACTTCAGACTTGAAATTTTCTTGGATCTCAATGATATGTAACATGCTTATTTAGCTCTCTAAAAATTTCCTCAACCACTATCAAGTCATCTGATATGATATTCAATATTTAAATTCAAATTACATGCAAGTCAATTCTTATTTAATTTAAAATAAGAGCTAATAACAATGGCTAACATTTATTGAGGATGTTGAATACCCTGGACACTTTATGTGAATTAATTTTTTTTTTAAAGAGAGAGAGAGAGAGAGAGAGAATTTTTTTTTTTTAATATTTATTTTTCAGTTTTCGGCGGACACAGCATCTTTGTTTGTATGTGGTGCTGAGGATCGAACCCGGGCCGCATGCACGCCAGGCGAGAGTGCTACTGCTTGAGCCACATCCCCAGCCCTATGTGAATTAATTAATTAAATTCCTTCTGTGGTCCTATGCAGTGCTGTTATTATCCCATTTTACTAATAGGAAACTGAGGCACAAACAAAAAATTATAAAACTAATAAATGTAAGAGCTGATGATCAAATGTAGGCAGCACGGCCTCCTTAGTATGAGCTGTGAAACATTGTGTTGAATCGAGTCTCGGTGTTTCTCCTATAAGTAGAACCACTATCATTTTAAATGAGCATTGTGTACTTTAGTAAAAGTGAATAATAAGGGAATAGTTACATAACAAAAATAAATGATTCCATATTCCTTAGATGATATGGAGAGATTTTTGTCTTGAATTTATGTTAATTCAGTGCGATCACTGATGCAACGAATGAGTCAGGATGGCTAAGGGCAGAATGATGGCAGAATGACATAATTTCACTGCACCAGGAGCTGTGGGTGCTATAAAACAAAATTACTTTTTGTTTAATTCTTGGCTTCTTTTTTAATATTTCTGTAGAAGGACTATTAGCAATTGCATTCCACCATGGCTAAAGATTTAGGTGTTCAATTTATAGATATGAATTGTTCAACCAGAATTCACATCATTGAGTTTACTCCCTGTTTTGCCTCAGTTTACTACCTGTCTTTGCATTGCTATGACCAAAAACCCTAAAAAGAAAACTTAGTTTATTTTGACTCACAGTTTCAGTTCAATCCATGGACTGCATAACTATGGGTCTGAAGTGAGGCAGAACATTATAGCAAAATGGTGTAGTGGAGAAAAGCAGTTCAGCGCATGGCAGTCAGGAAGCAGAGAGAGTGCTCTGTTAACCAGGGACAAAATCTATACCTGAAAGGCACAACCCCAGTGACCTACCTCCTCTAGTCACAAGTTGCCACCCAATTAATCCATATCACATGAACGTATTGTTCGGTTACAGTACTCACAATCTAATCATTTCACCTTTGAACATTCTTTTGTTGTCTCACACATGAACTTTTGGAGACACTTCATGTCTAAACTATAACATTCTGCCCCTGGCCCCCCAAATCTTGTGTCTATCTCACAACGCAAAGTTCATTTAATCCATTTCCAAGAATCCCCTAGTTTAAACAATTTAGTATTGCCCAAAAGTCCAAGTCTAAAATCTCATCTGAGACTCAAAGCACAGACTAGCTGTGAGAGTAAAGATCAAAAGCAAGCTACATACATCCAATGTATAATGACACAGAATAAATATTTTCATTTCAAAAGAGAGAGGCATAGAATGAAGGGATGAGATCAAAGCAAGATCAAAATCCAGCTGGGCAAGCAAGTCCTATAGCTCAATAGCCAGCATCTGGGGTATATGGCATTTTGAAGTCTTTCCAAAGGACTTGAGTAGCTCTGCCCCCTCTAGTCTTACTGGTTGCAGCCTACATGGCCTCTCTCTTGGTTTGTCTCTGATTCCTGCACCTTTCTTCTGCAGTCTACATTACTGGAATCTTAACTCTGGGGTCTTGGTTCCAGCTTTGGCTTCACCTTTAGAGCTTCACTCATCACTCTTTCAAGGACAGCTTGTAGGGACTCTGATGTTGCTACACTTTGTCTGGCCTCACAGGTATTCCTTTGAAATCTTGGTGGAAGCTTCCATGACCCCCTGACTCCAACATCTTCATTCCTGATGAACCAGTACCATGTGGTCGACACCTAGATCTGCCACCATCTTGAGCAGTAGTCAAGCCTCCTGGGACCATGGCTGTAATAGCCTGAGTGACTGGGTGGCTGAGTACAATGAAACAACATCCTAGGCACCCCTGTGCAACCAGGGTGCCCCCTTGTCTCTTATCAAAGGAATTTTTGCTTTTATACCCTTGAGACTGAGATGGGTGTGAGCTTGCTAATTCCTGAGGTGCCCTCAAGCCATCTTTCCTATTGTGTCTAGGTAAAGTACTTAGCATATCTTTAGTGGATGTACTCTCCTTAACAGCCACACCTTCCTTTGCCCCAGTTTTAGTTGCACTTTTCTGACCAAACTAGAAGATTTTCATATTCTTCTGCTCTGCTTTCTGCTGATATCACAGTGATCTTGGCTAAGAGCTGCCAGCAATATCCATGCAATCTCCTGAAGGCTGTGTTGCAGTAGTACAAGGAATAAATCTTACATTCTTGTTTTAGTATGTTTTGGTTCTTTTGGAGACATCTCAGGATGGCTTTACTAATGACCACACCATCACCATGGCCTATGACCTACAGTTTCAGCACTCATCATCTGCAGCACTTTTTCCTTTCAGGCCTCGCTCCAGGCACACTGCCTTCTTGCTCTGCCTTAAGCAATCCAAGCAAGCTCCTCCCAGGACCTTTGCAGGAAAGTTCTCCCTGATGGAAATGCTCTTACTACACATAGCTGCAGGGCTCCCATCTTCTCTTCTCCAGGTTTCTGTTTCAGTGCTTTCAGTGGACTTCACTCACCACCCCTGCTCTAGTCCAAAACAGCACTGTTCCTCATGTCAGTAACTATTCCCTCACATGCTTTCCTCTTTTTCCTTATAAAGTTCACATGCCTCAGCTATTTTATTGTAGTACAACAAAACTGACGGATACAAAGATGTATAATAAACCTCAAAGAAATTATTAAAATAACGAAAGAAAGAGCTGTACTAATAAGGGAAACAACATAAAATTATATAATATTTGATTAAATGTTGGTAGAAAAGAGGAGAAAAGTCAAAGAAGCAATAATACAAATTGAAAACAGAATAATGGTGAATTTAAACCTAACTATATCAATAATTATATTAAATGTAAATAATGTAAATTAAGTGCAATCATCTCTGATGGGGAACAAAGTTGAAGTTGACCGGTATACTGTTTTATTGTGGGTGTATGAATATGTAAAGATCAACTGCTGTTATGTATAATATACCCAAAAAAAAAGAAAAAAGAAGAAGAAGAAGAATTAATTATGCTGAACCCACACATACAAAAGGTAGAGATTTTCAGATTGGATAGAAAAGCCAGACCTAAATACTGGAAAAAAATGCATGTTAAATATAAAAACATGAATATGTTAAAAGTATTAGAAAAGATATATTGAATGAAAGGAAATCTGGAATGATGTATTAATATCAGGCCAAACAGATGTCAGAACAAAGAATGTTATCAGGGATGAAAGAACATTTGATGATAAAAGGGTTCAATTTATCCAAAGGACATGAAAAGTGTAAATGTTAGTGCACCTAATAACGAGCTACAAAATACTTGAAGCAAAACAAAACAAAACAAAAACAAATCAAAACAAAAAACAAAGAGAAATAGATGACTCCACCAACATGGCAGGAAATTTAAATTGGCCTCTTTCAGTAAGTGATAGAGTAGGCAGAAAACCAGTAAGGGTACAGAGGCTTAACTAACACTAGCAACAAAGTTGATTTGATTGACATACAAATATATTTAGAACATTCTATCAAGAACTATAAAGAATACTATATCCAACAACAATTTTCAAGTGTGTATGGAGCATTTACCAAATTAGACCACATTTTGGGTGATAAGGCCTGCCTCAACAAATTTGAAGCTACTTAAGTCATACAAAATATGCTCCATGACTACAATAGAATCAAATTAGAAATCATTAATAGAAAAATATCTTTAAAATCCCCAAGTGCTTGGAAATCAAACAACACTTCTAAAGAATGCATGAATTAATAAATAAATAAAGAGGGGAATTAGAAACTATTTTGCAAAGAATAAAAATGAAAATATGTTAAGTTTGGGTTATGTTATGGTTTGTAGGTGCTTTTCTCTATGATCAAGAGCAAGGTTAGGTTGCTGGCTCTTCCTTCTTCTATTCACAATATACTGGTGCACTACCATTGAAATAAGGCAGAAAGTAAATAAATATACACTGTTCAGTTTGGACAAGAAAAAATAAAATGACCTTTTTTTTTTTTTTCACAGAAGACATGATGATTTATGTAGGAAAATCCTGTGGAATCTACAAAAAGCTACAAAGATAAAACATGAGTTTAACAAATTTGTAGGATACAATTATCAAAATAAATCAAT